TTGATAGGTTGGTGCATATAAAACCTCTAAATGTCAAAAGAAAAAAGAAAAAAAAACAGCATTTTAAAAATTGAGAAGCAAGTAATTGGGAAAAACCATTGTAACCAAAGGTTAATAGCGTTAATATTTATAGAGAGCTCTTAGAAATCAATAAGAAGATAAGTACACAATAGAAAAACAGACTGTGGACATGAACGGGCAGTTCAAAAAGAAGTAACACAATGGGCCAGTCCACTTATGAAGTGTTCAGCCTCACCAGTAATCAAATAAATGCAAATGAAAACAACAAAGAGACATTATCTTTTGCCTAGTTAATTGGCATAGATGAAATGCATGATAATACCTTGGGTTGGTAAGGGTGTGGAAAAAACAGGCACTGTCATTCAGTGGTGGGAGTGCAAACTGTCTCAGCCTTTCCAGAGGGTAAATTGGCAATGTGCAAAGCCGAAGAAGATTGCATACCCTTTGACGCAGCAATTCCACTTTTAGGAGATAGCCTTAGGAAATAATTGTGGATAATAATAACAATAATAGCTAACCTTTTTTAAATGCGCTCTATGTGCCAGGCCCTACACACATTATCTCATATAATCTTCAAGGCCATCATCCCACGAGGTCGGAGCTATTATTATCACTTGCATTTTAGAGATGAAGAAAGAATCTGAGGTGAAAAGGATTAAGTAAATGGCCTAAGGACACACAGCTAACAAGTGACAAAGCCAGGATTTGAGCACAGGCAGCCCAGGTCTAGAGTCCTACTGCCCTTTCAGCAATATGCACTGGATGTGTACAAAGATGAAGCTGCAAGGATGTTCCTCCAGGGTTGTTTGCAAATTAGTTATGTAAATTTTAATATACCTATACAGTGAAATAGTATTTGTTGTTGTTAGTTGCTGTCAAGTTGTCTCTATCTACGTACAACAAAACAAAACACTGCCTGGTCCTGTGCCAGCCCCCACAATCCCCACTATACCTGAGCCCATCATTGCAGCCACTGTGTCAATCCATGTTGTTGAGGGCCTTCCCCTTTTTCATTGACCTTCCACTTTACCAAAGCATGATATCCTTCTCCAGAGAATGGTCCCTTCTGACAACATGACCAAAGTAGGTGAGATGAAGTCTGGCCATTCTCGCTTTTAAGGAGCATTCCGACTGCACTTCTTCCAGGACAGATTTGTTAGTTCTTTTAGCAGTCCATGGTGCCTTCAGCATTCTTCGCCAGCACCTCAACTCAAAAGCATCAACTCTTCTTCCTTCTTCCTTATTTATTATCCAGCTCTCACATGCATATGAGGGAATTGAGAATACCATGGTTTTGGTTAGGTGTACTTTAGTCTTCAAGGAGACGTTTTTGCTCCTCAGCACCTGAAAGAGGTCTTTTGCAGTAGATTTGCCCAGTGCAACACATTGTCTGATGTCTTGACTGCTGCTTCCATTGGTGTTGATTATAGAACCAAGTAATATGAAGTCTTTGACAACTGCCATCTTTTCTCCATTTATCATAATGCTGCTTCTCGGTCCAGTTGTGAGGATTTTTGTTTTATTATATTGAGGTGTAATCCATATTACGGACTGTAGTCTACAACAGATAGTATACAACAATGACAGTGGTGCTATAGAAAAAGATAGATGTGTGAATACTGGTATCAGTTTATATATACTTTTTTTTTTTTTTTTTGGAATTTCTGAAAATGTGTACAAGGAACTGATAAAAATTGGTTGCCTCCTGAAAGCATAAATATGTGGCTATGGTCAGAAGTAAAAAAGGAGTTTTGTTTTGTTTTTTAGCCATATACCTCTTTGCACTTCTTGAATTCTGAATCATGTGTATATACATATGTATAAACCATATATAAGCCAGTTGTCATCAAGTCAATTTCAACTCATGGTGAGTCCGTCAATCCATCCGTCAATCCATGTGTCAGAGTGAAACTGCTCCACAGGGTCTTCAATGGCTGGTTTTTTGTAAAGTAGATCACCAGGCCTTTCTTCTTAGGCACCTCTGAGTGCTCTTGAACCTTCAGCCTTTCAGTCAGTAGCCAAGCATGTTAACCATTTGCACCACCCAGACACTACACACATATATACATATGTAAGTGATGTTATACAACTTGTTCCACTTAACTTTATTTTCTTGAAATGCTACTCAGTTCCAAAGGGGGGTGGAATTCAAGGCTCTACCTTGTAGAATCATACTGAAGTTGATAAAGATACATCTTCAATTGTTTGCCCCCGTGTTCCCCAAACTGATTTGCTCATGGAACTTTTTTCTCAAATAATATTCGTTATTGGGAGCTCTGGTGGCAGTGCCTAAGGCATTTGACTGCTAACCAGAAGGCTGGCGGTTCAATCCCACTAGCCACTCCTCGGAAGGAAGATTGGGCAATCTACTTCCGTAGTGATATTGCCTCGGAAACCTAAGGAGGGGTCGCTACGCATCGGGTCTGACTTGAGAGTAAGAGAGAGATTCATTATTAACTCAGGTCCTATAGAATTCTTTTTCTTCCAAATTTTATTTATTTTGTTGTTATTGTTGAGAATATGCAAGCAAAACATACACCAATTCGTTTCTACATGTACAATTTAGTGACACTGATTACATTCTTCAAGTTGTGCAACGATTCTCATCCTCCTTTTCTGAGTTGTGCCTCCCTCGTTAATATAAACTCACTGCCCCTGAAGATTCCTATCTAGTCCTTCAAGTTGCTATTGTTTGTTTGATCCCATACAGATAGTCCTTAAAAGAGCATAGTGCTCAAGGCAGACCTTTCTACTGATTAAGCTAAACTATTGTTCAGTTTTAAAATGACTTCAGAAGACATTTTCGATGTAAGGTTTAAAGATTATCTCAGGGCAATAGTTTCAGGGATTCATCCATCCCCATGGCTCCAGAAAGTCTGGAGTCTATGAGAATTTTAAATTCTGTTCTTCATTTTCTTCTTTTTCATCAGGATTCTTCTGTGCAATATGTCCTATAGAATTTCGTTTTGGGAAATGTTATTAGAGATTAATACCAATGAGAAAGAGTTGCATTGTTTCACTAAATGAAAGAAACCTGTTATTGTCAAGTGCTTTCATTTTGTTTAAGCATGGGGGGGGAAGAGAGGGAGAGGGAGAAAGAGAGAGGAAGTGGGGAGAGAGAGAGGAAGAGGGAAAGAGAATGAGTAATGGGTGATTTTCTTTTCTTTTTATTTTACCTGTCTGTATTTTTTTGTTTTCTACAGTGAACACAATTATTTTGCAAAGGAGTCATTTTTTAAGTCTATGTAATACAGCTTTTTAAAGCTTTGGGAGCTCTTTCTTTTTATGCTCCCTCTGCCCCTTGCACCCTCCTCACCTGTGTTCCTCACTACCCTGAGCACCAGCTCAGGGTTAGGTTCAATGAGGGGACCTCTCCCTATAGCCAGGCCCCCTTTCCTGCCATACTCCAGAGCCAGCTAGGCCCATTGCCAGAACTCTGGGCCCTGAAGAAAGAACCAATGACCGATGGCTGCTCAGTCCCCAGGCAACTCCCTAGTCCCAGCAGACCCTCCCTTCTACTAAAGACTTTAAGCCTGAAATAGAGATGAGGCTGCAGAAGCAGTCACCAGCCTGGTAACAACCTTGTAGAATCATACTGAAGTTGATAAAGATACTTCTTCAATTGTTTGCCCCCGTGTTCCCCAAACTGATTCAGTCATGGAATTTTTTTCTCAAGTAATACTCATTATTGGGAGCTCTGGTGGCATAGTGCCTAAGGCATTTGACTACTAACCAGAAGGCTGGCAGTTCAAACCCACCAGCCACTCCTCGGAAGGAAGGTTGGGCAATCTACTTCCATAGTGGTACTGCCTCGGAAACCCAAGGAGGGGTCGCTTGTTACAAACCCAAACACCTGGGCTTTGGTCCCTGCTCTGTGGCTGCCTGGCTATGTGACCTCAGTGAAGTGTGTTAATCTGTCTGAGTCTCAGCTTTACCTTCTATGTCTATAGTGACACTTGCCTCACAGACCTCGGGACTACATGACAGCATGCAAGAAGGCATTATATATCCTGCAAAGGGCTGTTCCATTGGAAAGTCTTGCATATCCCAGCAGGGAGCATTGGCTGGCCTTTACTGAGAACAGAGGACTTTTTTCCTATCTTTGATGGGAGAGGGGAGTCAAATCATGAAAGACAGGGCATGTGGAAATAGGACAGTATTTAAGAAATATGGGAGAGCCCCTTAGCTTGGCTTTTGTAGCCTTTTATCCATGGTTTGGCCCATTCCCCCCATGTAGCCCCAGGGCTTGTCTCCAGCACGGCCTCTCTACTTCACCCACTCAACTCAGCCCATGTGTTGTTCTCCAAAGCCACTATGTCTCTGCCTGGCCCACCTTCCTTACCCATCCTTGAACTCTTAGCTACGTTAGCTCCTCCCCATGGTTGGGGTCACTTTTCTGGGCCCTACTATCCCTAGCCCTCCATAACCATGCTGTGATAACAGTGCCAAGTTACAGTTCTTCTGCTACAATGAACTTCCTGATGGCAGGAACTGTGTCTGCCATGTTGGTCTCCCTATGTCCTCTAGACCAGCATAGGCTGGAGGCTGGGAACAGGAGTTAGATCATTAACACTGGAGTCAAAGAGACTTGGGTTTGAATCCCAGTTCTACCGCCTTGAGGAAGTGATTTCATAATTCTGAGCCTGAGTTTCCCTATCTATCAATGGGGTTAATGATTGCCATGAACTCATGGAGTTATCATCAAGATTTTATAAGCTAATGTATATAAAGCTCTTAGGGCCATTCTAGGCATGAAAGAAACTCTCTATTTATAGTATAATAAGTAAGTAGTATCATTGCAGACTCTGTTAAGCTTGCTGGATTGAATTAGGAAAGGGCACCAGGAGGAGTGGCTCCCTAGGCTCACTCTTTCACCACCCCAGGCCCAGCCCAAGGACAGTGGCCCTTACCTTCCACTGCTCATGCCTAGAGTTGCCTTACTGCCACCATGCTCACCGCCCTGCCTTGTGCCCCCACAGCCATTCGGCCCAAGCTGAAGAAGATGAAGAGCCAGACAGGACAGGTGGGTGAGAAGCTATCACTGAAGTGCGAGGCAGCAGCTGGTAACCCCCAGCCCTCCTACCGCTGGTTCAAGGATGGCAAGGAACTCAACCGCAGCCGTGACATTCGCATCAAGTATGGCAATGGCAGGTGAGCACCATCCAACCCTCCCTTCCACAGACCGGTTGCCCTCCCTTCTCCCTGAAAAGGAGGGGCCTGAGCTAGACAGAGCCTGGGGCTGTGCCCCCAGACCCACCCATGGAAGCAATCCCAGCCCCTCTTCACCCCTTTTCCCACATCCCACCTTCTCCCTGCAGTTCTGGGTCCCTCTGGTTTGGTTGGCCCAGTGTCTTGCAGATGTAGATGCTCAATTAATGTCTCTGGATGGTTGAAGGCAATTTGATTGTCAAGGTCAGCTTTACCTGTAGATTAAGGATCTGGAGGCCCACTCCCATCCCTAAAAGTTACTGTCATTTGGTAACTTTTGGGGAAAGATCCTGACTCTAGAATGCCTCTGGGAGCTCACATGTGATGATGGGCTGGTTTCTCATCTGAGCAACCTGTTGCTTAGCCAAGAGCTAGACAAGGAGAAAGGGTACTAGATCTCAGACAGTTTCCCCCTATGAAATGAGAATTGTCTAATCTTTGATTCAGTGCTCCAGGGAAGTGAATCAGAAGCTCTCTGAATCTCCAGGTTACAGAAGATGACCTCTCTTCCTGCTTCGGTTGATAGGGCAGGGGATCTTCAGGCACCAGAGAAACTAGTAATCCAAGAGTAACCTCTCTCCCTCTCCAGATGCAGGACAAACAAGGAAGCTAAACACAAGTTCTGCCTGACTTCTGTTCTGTCAGCCCTGGGGACTAGGAGGACTCCCCTGGATGGTCGAGGAGCACCCCTGTCTTTTCTGCCCCCTCAGTGGCAGTGGATTTGATTTTTCATTTGGTAGAGTAGCTTCAACTACCCTTCCTTTCAGGATGTCATTTTCTTCTTTAATGCTCACAAAATGCAAACGAAGATGATGTCTGAGGAACCTCCGTCCAGCCTGCCCCCATCAGAAAGTGATGGAAAAAATGCCTGGGTCCAGGCTGCTCCTAGATTGCTCTGTGGTCCTGGGTGTGTACACCTGGCCTCTGAACCTTGGTCTCTAGAACCTGTGAAAAGAGGTAGTAGGAGCAAATGGTCCATGACATCCTCGCAGTTAGAAAAGAGAGAACTGGTCACCCCAGAAAGTGGTCCAAGCAGAAAACAGTCATTTAAGGAGGACTTAGTTTAGATAAAAAGTTTGTGGTTTAAAGAATGCTGATTCCTAAGGAAATTACTGGGGGAGGGGTCTGGTGTGTCCCTAGTTGGCAAGAATTCAGGCTGCCCCTTCAGCTCACCTTCTGGAGCCAGCCCATCCCTTCTCACTGCCCTGACAAGATTGGCTCCAAGCTGGAGAGAATGGACTGCCTTCCTAGAGCTGTTGGGGCTCCTGTCTCCCTCCTGTCCTCTCATCTAGAAGATGATGTGTCTCCCCATTTCATTGAGACAAAAGAAGTCAGGAGACAATGACTTCATTACTCCCAAGCATATCCATTCTCATGCCCTTGTTCCTGATCCCAGTGTCACATAGCCCCACACCCTCCATCCACACATAAACACACACATACCCTCAGAACCCTGGTACTATCACATCAACCAACTACTTTTTCTATTAATTTCACAGATTCTCTTTCTACCTGGAAACCTGTGTATATCTCTTCTACAACGCCTTCCCTCCACCTTGATGTTTACTCTTCCTCCCTAGCTGTTGCCCCATCTGCCTTCTACCCTTCACTCCATATGGCATCAACTGGAGGGAGTTAGTTTTATGCCCACTGACTCCACACACTCTCATCTTCTACTCACTCTTCCCTGTTGGAATCTACTCTTAAAATACACTCCAACACTCTTGATAGGTGTGGATCCTGAGAGACCCCAACAACCTCTGAGTTTCCTGGCGCCATTTCTCCAGGCCTCTCAGCAGCCATTGGCATGGGTACCACCTGTTCCCTGAGCCCCTCAGGTACTTTTCCTTGTTCTCCTGCACCTCTAACTACTTTCTCTCATCCTCCATCAGTATTTAAGCTTTCCTGTATTTATGGGCTTTACTTCTCTCCTCAATCCCTCTCCACCTATGGGTGATTTCACCTTTTCCCCTTATTTTAAATATCTAATGACCTCAATTCTCCATCTCTAGTCTTGATGACTTTTTAACCTGAATTTTGGACCCATACTGCCATCTACCCACTAGATACCACCCCTGAGATATCCCAACCAAAAAAAAAAAAAAAAAAAACTTTGCCATGGAGTCCATTCCAACTCATGCAACCCCTTGTTGGGTTTCCGAGGCAGTATCTCTACAGAAATAGATTTCCCAATCTTCCTTCTGAGGAGTGGCTGGTGGGTTTGAACCACCAGCCTTCTGGTTAGCAGTCAAATGCCTTAGGCACTACGCCAGCAGAGCTCAAATACAGGATACCCCAATCTAGCCTCTTCCTCCCCTTGCCTCCTTGAGCCCTGTCTCTCACTCCCAAGTTCCCCTTTCAGCACTTGCAAACAGAGACTTCCTATTGCTCAGCCCCTATCCCCTTAACATCCATTCCAGTTGGGTACCACATCCTGCCCTGCACATTTCTTACCTGTCCTCCCTGCCTCTAGTTTCTTTTCTTCCATTTGGTCCCATTTTTTACCACCCTCTACCTTTTCTGGGCCATAGCCCCCTTTGTGAGTCTATTTCTATATCTGACAAACATTGAGCACCTACTATGTACCAGGTACTGTGCTGGAGGCTGGGAAAATAACAGTGAACACAACAAGCATAGTTCCTACCTTCATAGAGTTTCTAGTTTAGATTCTAGAGTCATTGTTCTTGTTGTTGTCAGGTACTGTTGAGTTGATTGCTACTCATAGAGACCCTATGTAAAACAGAAGGAAACACTGCCTGGTCCTCACAGTTCTTGCTATACTTGAGCCTATTTGTTGCAGCCACTGTGTCGATGCATCTGGTTGAAGGTCTCCCCCTTTTTCTCTGACCCTCCACTTTACCAAGCATGATATCCTTCTCCAAGGACCAGTCCCTTCTGACAACATGACCAAAGTAGGTGAGATAAAGTCTGGCCATGCTTGATTCTAAGGAGAATTCTGGTTGCAGTTCTTCCAGAACAGATTTGTTCATTCTTCTGGCAGCCCATGGTATTTCGGTATTCTTTGCCAACACCAACAACTTATAGAATAGAATCTGGTAAAAGTTTAGAACCTTTCATCAGAAAAAAATGTGTCTCATACACCCAGCCTCTGTAGTACTTCGTGTTAGCAGGAAGTCCACCGAGACACTGATCCAGTGAATGCCTGACAGAATGATCTTTCTAACATGGACACATGCCCAATCATTCATTCATTTACTTGACAGCTATTGAGAACCTCCTCTATGCCAGGCACAGCCCAGGCCTTATCCCACAATCCTTAGTGTGAAGAGTCTAGGTGCAAACGCCTCCCCAGAGGAAGAGCTAGTTCTAGCTTCCAGCTCTCCCTTTCCTGGCCTTTAAGTCACTGTCCAGCTGTTCCCCAACACCTCTCTGCTTCGGACCTCTGGTCAAATGTGCCATTTCCTTTCATGACTCTAAAAGGAAATGAAAGCTCCCATCCCCCTCCTGTCCCTGGCAGAGTTCTCCAAGACCTAGCTTAAATGTCACATCCTCTGGGACACTTTCCTGAGCCCTCCAGGCAGCTCTCCTTGTCTCCTCCCATGCTGCCTTGGACTTGGCTTCATTGCATTGTTTGGGGGGTGGGGCTGGCCTGCTAGTCTGAAAGAGCCTCAAAGGCTGGGTCCCCCACCCTTATAGGTCCTTCTTCCCTGTAGGGCCAGGCACTTAGGAGATTGTCATTAAATGTTGAATTGATAAGAATCCTGCAAGACAGCCCTTCCTCTCCTGGATATAGGGCCCTACTGGGGCTGGACAGAAGGCCTTTTGGATTGTCCTAGACTTTGAATAAGTTACTATCCTGGTCAAGCCTCCGTTTCATCGGACAAATGAGTTACTCAGTCCAGAAACAGGACCTGGCAGATCTTCCCTTCCTGAGTATTAGGGACTTCTAACAGTCCTGGTGACGCAGTGATTAAGCATTTGACTGCTAACCAGAAGGTCAGCTGTTCAAACCCACCAGCTGCTACATGGGAGAAAGATGTGGCAGTCTGCTTCCGTAAAAGTTTACAGCCTTGGAAAACTTATGGGACAGTTCTACAGGGTCATTGTGAGTCAGAATCAACTCAGCAGCAGTAGGTTTGGTTTTTTGGGTTCTAAGAGCCTGAAGTGTGTCCCCTGCCACCTAACCTGCCTCCTGTCCTGTTTGTCCCTTCTCTGAAACTTCCTTCTCCTACCTATCCGACCCCTGGGCTCCCAGCAGTGAGTTGCTAATGCTGGAGGAGTGGGCCATGATAGGGACCTTCTGATTCCCTCTGACCAAAGTCCCCTCGGAGTGACTTGTAGCAAGCTGCCACCTGCACAGTTACCCACCCTCACACTCACACACACCATACCTGGCATGAGGCCAGGGGCTGGAGTCTCCTTTTTTGCAAGATCATCTCCCTTCTCCCTGCCTGCCCTGCAGCTTGCTCTCCTGCCCTCCCGGCACATCGCCTGCCCAGGCCACACTGTGTCTAGACCTCTCTCCTGGCCTGCACAGACCCCTCCTTCCCAGGTTCCTGTGTGTCTCTGTGCCACCGCACTGAGGCATCTCACCCAAGCCTTCCTGTGCCAGGAGGAAACTGCTCCCCCCAGCCCTGGGCGCAGGGCCCTCCCCTGCAGAACCACATGTTCCCTTATTTATGAGGGGCAGGCTGGGACAGGCCCCTCCAGCAGGCAGCAGGAGGTAGGCGCTGAGGAAAATGTGGGGACGGGTGGAGGATGTAGCCGCCCAGATTCCATCCCTGTCAGCAGGGAACTGGCTGGGGAAGGAGGGGCGGGGCCTACGTTGCAGGGGGCAGGCCTGGGTCAGTGTGATTGAGGCCTGCCAGGAAGGCTGGAGAGTGTCCTGGCTTCCTGGGGCTTCTGACTGGAGCTGGGAGTGAAAAGAAGAAAATGTAGAGCTACAGAGCCCCCACCTTCCAGCTCTCACCCCAGAGCCTCTTTTACTTCTCTGGGGCCCACCTCCCAGAACTGCTGAGATCATCAAACAGCTAGTAAACCAAAATACCTGCGGCCAAGATACAGGGGCCATTTTTTCTGTACCTTTCCCTTCTTGCTGTTCTTAAAAGGAGACAGGGCCATCCCTGAGCCTGGTGCCTCCTTTCTTCAAGTCTCACACCTTTGTGTCATCAAGCCCTTCCTTAAAGTTCCAGCTTTTATCCCTCCAGATAGCCTGTGAACCTTGCTCTGTTTTGTCCTGCTACATAGGATACTATGTGACGGAAGCTCCTTTGAATTCAGATGCAAGTGACAAGGAGGCTGTGGCTCTGTGCCCCCTATGCATTGATCTGAGACTCTCAGATTGTCCCCTGCCCTGCTCATCTAGTGTGCAGGAAAGAGCTGGTGACAGGGAAGCAAGAGAAGGCTTATCCCAGCAAAGCTGGGCTTTGTGGCATCTAATTAGGCTGGAGCCAGGGAAGAGATGCTGTCTTGGCCAGAGGGGCCTCCAGGGCTCTGGTTAATGAAGGGAACAAGCTTCAATTGAGAGAAGAGTGTTGTGGGCAGGCACCAGGCCAAGAAAAGAGACCAACTTGAGCCAGGAAGGGTAATAGGTAGTTGGGCAACTGTCACCATAACATCATCAAGGACATTGCCACAGAAACAGGGACTGTTGATCAGACAACCTTGTGGTACCCTTGCTTGGGGGATCTTGGAGTAAGGAGGCCTGAGGTGAGGAGGTCTGGGAAGAGATACACTCCCAGAAGCAGAGCCCAGGAGAGGTCATGAAAGAACAGGAGCAGGAGTGGGGACCATGCGACTTCCTGAGGGGCTTGAATTTCTTCCCCCAGGAAAATAGTTACAAAGAAGGTTCAGCCCTGGGAAAATAGATAATGAGGATTCACAGATTTAGAACGTGTGTAGCCCCGAGCCCTGCCCTGTGTTCCCCAGATCTTCCTCCCACTCCAGGGACTCAGGGTTACACCTGGGCCCCAGACATGGCCGGTCTGACAATACCTCCTTCCCATCCACCCTCCGGGGCCATTGTGGCTCTGGGGGGAGAAGTGACCATTGGGGAGCCATAGCAGGCCTGGGCCCTGGCTCATGTCTCTCCTCCTCTTATCCCCTCCCTAACCAGAAAGAACTCACGACTCCAGTTCAATAAGGTGAAGATGGAAGACGCTGGGGAGTATGTCTGCGAGGCCGAGAACATCCTAGGCAAGGACACAGTGCGGGGCCGGCTCTACGTCAGCAGCGGTAGGTGGTCCCTCAATGAAGGGAGGGTCCTAGAAGGGTTCAGCAGGGCGAGCCAGTTACCCCCACTCCCCCGCCTTGGGAGGCCTGCACATGATCCATCTTGCACTGGACTCCCCTCCCTCCTGCTGCTGCCGTATCGAGCCCAAGATCTCGGCCAATTCAGAGAAATGCAGTCGAAGCATAAATGTTTAGCTTTGTTATCTGGGCCTGGAAGAGCCGCCAGTTCTCATTTTAAATACCCTGAAAACTAAATATTTTGAAATCAAGAAGTGGGGGTGGGGAAAAGGATATTTTTAGAAGGCAATTATGGGAGGCCGGATTGCCAGGAGCGGGGCTAGGGGGAGAGGCAGGCCGGGTGTGAGCAAGCCAGCTGATTGCCTGTAGCCTGTCACTGTGTTGGGCACCCGAGGGCAGGAAGCCTCTACTGGGCCATGGGGTGAGAAGCTTAGGGGCCTTGGGCCCCTGAGGGGCGTCTATGCTCAGGGACAGCAGGCCCCTCTCCCACAGTCATCCCCTCTTTGAAGACTCACAAGGTCAGGACCTCACCACACCCCTCAGCTTCCCTTCTCCACAGTGGCAATTCCAGCTGCAAGAGAGGAAGCACCTTCCCGCTGGGCTGTCCTCTCAGGCACTAGCCTTTCTAGCATTTCTCTTCACTGGAAAGCCGCCTCCCCTCTCAGCCAACGCTGCCTCAGGCCGTCCCCCTCCACTGTCTCCTTTCCCAGGAAGCATAGTGCCCCCCTCTCAGAGCTCCACATCCCTCAGATCTCTTTCCTCCTACCAACCTGCAGACTAAGCATGCCATTTGGCTCCTTATGTATTAGGATTTGCTCCCAGACATGCCCCATCACAGAGTCCCATCATGTATCTGTAGTTACCTGCCTGCATTTCTACTAGGTGGCCTTCCAATACCCGCTAAACCCAGCATTGCCTCAATAACAACTTGTAACATTCACTGCCCTCCAACCCTCAGATGAAAACTTGGCTCAGATCTTGTCTGTACTGGATTTGATAAGGGATACCTGTTTTCCTGTCTGTCAGACTCCTTAATCTCCCTTACCGCTGTGTCCAGTAAGTCTAACTTTCCAAGTCCTACTCATTCTTTGTTCTGGATCCCTCTCACACCTATCCCTTCCATTACAACCCTATCACAAGGACAGCCTTGGTCCAGGTTTCAGCCCTACTTGCCTGAAAACCACAGCAATGGCATCTTACGGTGCTTTCATCCTGCTGTGCCCCCTACCTACATCATGGACCACAGAACAACCTCTCAATAGTCTGGCTCAACAGCAAGGGCACCTGTAACTGTGCTTTGTCCCCTTTACATCAGTTCTTATTCTTTCTCCCAGGCAGCTTTCCTTCCCTAACTACCCACCAGGGCCATTCTCAGCTCTGACCCTACTCCTGTACCACTTCTGAGCCAACTTCAGTTCTGTGGCATCTCTTGAGTTGCTATCCTTAGATCCTTCTTCAGCTCTCTTCCTTGTTGCTGAACTTTGTGAGTGTGACTTCCCCACAGAATTGTAAATCTCAGGAATGGGGAGAAGAGAGATGATAGCTTGCCCCAGGAGTAACAGCAATAAAACCCCAAAACCAGACCCACTGCCATTGAGTCAATTCCAACTCATAGAGTAGAACTGCTCCATAGGATTTCCAAGGGTATACATCTTTATGGAAACAGACTGCCTCATCTTTCTCATGTGGAGCAGCTGGTGAGTTCAAACCACTAACCCTTGGTTAGCAGCCTAATGTTTTAACTACAGTGCCACCAGAGTACCTGTAACAGTAAAAGTTACTATTTATTGAAAGGAGTCCATGGGTGGTACAAGTGGTAACATGCTCGACTGCTAATCCAAAAACTGCAGGTTCGAGTCCACTCAGCGGCACCTCAGAAGAAAGCTCTGGAGATCTACTTCTGAAAAATCAACCACAGGAAACCCTGTGAACACAGTTCTACTCTGATACATGAAGTGTCGCCATGAGTCAGAATCAATTCAACAGCAACTGATTTGTATATTGAGAGCTTACTCTGTGACAAGCTCTGAGTTATCTCATGAACCCTTACTGAAAAGCATCATGTATTTTATACATTATGGAACTGAAGTTCAGAGAAGTTAGATATTTCACCTACAGCCAACCAGGTAGCCAGTGATAGAGCTATGCAATGAAGCAGTAGTCAGTAGGCACTTAGACTATAGCTCCGCAAGGTGATGGATGTCTTGTTTACCCCTCAGGGCCTAGCACGTTGTAGCTACCAAGTAAATGTTACATGAAAGAACTTACAAACTGTTCCAAGGCCTTCATTAAGTCCCCCACACTCCAGCCCAAGCATGGTAGCAGTGGGGGTATCTGGCCCTCCTGTTCCTCCAACCAGGGGCCTGGACAATGAATGTGCCTAGAGCCCAGCACCTGCCACCTCCAGCCACAGGATTTGGGGTTTTCATGTCAAGACTTTCTTAGATACAACTGATAAAAACCCAACTTAACTATCTTAAGGAGTTTATTTATTGGCTTATAAAAGTGGGGGAAGTCCAGAGGTAGAACTGACCCCTGACATGACAGGGTCCAAGAACTCAGAATGTGGGTCAGGACACTCTGTCCCACTGTGTGTTGGCCTTATTACCTCCAACTGTAAAATGAGCTTCTTCCATGTTTGGGGAATGGAGTGGGAAGAGAGGTCCCGGACTCAGACAGCTCCAGGTTTATATCACTCCAGCCAGTCACCCAGAGAAAAGAGATGGTTCTGTGTCCATATACAAGGATGGATTCTGGTTAGGCCCTGCTTGGAGGAGGAGTTCTGGTGGCATAGTGCTTAAAGCATTCAGCTGTTAACCAAAAGATCAGCGGTTCAAACCCACTAGCCACTCCGTGATAGAAAGATGAGGCAGTCTGCTTCTGTAAATATTTACAGCCTTGGAAACCCAATAGGGCAGTTCTACTCTGTCCTAAAGGTTCACTATGAGTTGGAATCGACTGGATGGCAATGGGTGTGGTTTTTTGTGTGAGTAGTTTTAGCCTAATCACTGTGTTCAGGAGGGTGGGCTACCATGTTTGGGTCACCTCTGTGTGTTGTGTGCAGGGAGGTTACTGACAGACAGAATATTGTGACTGATACCCCTGCCAGAACTCTCTGGGGGCACTTCTCTATTAGCAGGAGGGCTGTTATGCAGAAAGCCACAGTACTGCCCTTTCTCTTGCCTGGGGTCTGGACTTGAGACCGGGAAAGGCTGTGAGACCCCACTAGATAAGCTGCAGCCACACCCCACACTAGGCTTCTGTCAGTCCTCCTGGGAATCACAATCCTGCCTTTGGGCCAGGAGCTAAGGGCAAACCTGGAATCCCAGGCCTCCCATAGGGGTCTTCGCCCTTTGTCCCTCCAGCCTAGCAGGAGAGCTACAGGACCAAGCAGAAGAAAGAGTTCAGAGATTTCGTCTAGTTGCAGCTATGTCATTCAACCCTAAGCAAATTACTTTTACTCCACCTCCCTAGTCTGGTTTTCCCATCTGCAAATTGTGGGGCTGGGCTAGATGATCTCAAAGTCCCTTCCCCCAAACCTCTGGGATTCTGAATTTGACATTGCACTGAGCCACCACACGCTCATATGACCACACACACACAGTACACACCTCCTGTGCTGCCCTGCTGCTGTCCATGGCAGGCAAGAGTCTACCCTTGATGTAGGGAGGTAGCCAGGGCCGCTGAAGGGGATGAGGAGGCCCCCACTGGGGAATTTTCCCAGACAAAGATGCCCAGGCTCCTTGTTTACCTATGGAACCCAGGAGACCTGCAGCAACCACACCCTGGGGAGGGGGCAAAGGGGGGGCAGCGGGTAACTGTGCCTGCCCCCCTCTGACTCATCCCAAGGTGGGTTGGCTTGGCCCGCCCAGGCCCCAGGGAAGCCAGGGCTACAGAGGTGGGGCCTCCAAAAGAGGGCATGGCAGGGCCGGAGAGGGAAAGTGGGCTTTTCCAGGGTCATCACTTCAGCTCGTGGCTGGCTACAGCTCTGTTCGGGTGAAGCCTGATTCTTCTTTACCAAATCAGGGTGGACTGCCTCCCTCCTACACCCCTTTACAGTGGCAGCTCTGCCAGCTCACATGAGGCATCCAGCCTTCCTCAGCTGGCTGGGAAGAGGAGTCGGCAGGAAGTTTTGTGGTGCTTTTAGTAAAACAGTCAGCTTGTTCCAAGCCACTTCTGATTTAAAGAAACCTCCGCCTTATCCCCAGGTAAAAGGGAACCAGGGAATGTTCCGGGGTGGCTGTACCAGTCCCAGGATAGTGGGCTGGGCCTGGCTTCATTCCACAGGGTAGGCAAGTTTGACCTGGCATGTCACAGAACCATAGAAGCCCTGGCAAGGCCACCTGTCCCTTACTAGAAAGTTAAAAAGGCTGAGTGCTTACACACACACACATTCACGTGTGCTTTCTTCCATGCCTTCAGCAAGGCCCTGCTTGGAGCTCTGGGGAGTCACAGTGTTGGCCCCCAACAAAACCCCTCAAATAGCAGGAAGCTAAAACCTGAACTCCAAAGTGTCTGCCTATGCTAACAACAGAAGAGGTGAATGGACAGCTTTACCAAAGGACAGCTTTACCAAAGGGGTAGGGAGCTACTGGGTAAGTGAGAGGGGAGCCCTGATGGATGAAGAGACACTTGACCTGGGCCTGGGAAGATAAGCAGAGGTTTTCTCGGTGAGCAAGGGAGAAGAGCAGTTGCAGCAGGATGCAGCAGATAGAAAGGATCACCACGGCATCAGCTCCCATGCTGGCCCTTCTCCATCTTCAAGGATTCTGATAAGCTCATTTACACCAAGACATTGATGGCTGATGGACAACAGCTTCTAGAGTTAACCCCTCTTGGGCATTTTTTAAAATTTGAAATATATACTATAAAATTCACCTTTTTAAAAATTTAAAAGTTCAGCAGTTTTCAGTATATTTACAAAGCTGTGTAGCCATCACTCTATCTAAATTCCAGAACATTTGTATCACCCTAAAAAGAGGACATGTATCCATTAGTGGTCACTCCCCATTTCTTCCTCCCCCATCCCCTAATAACCACCATCTACTTTCTGTCTATGGATTTGCCTATTCTGGGCATTTCATATAAATGAAATCACACACTATGTGGCCTTTTGTCACTGACTCTTCCACTTAACATAATGTTTTCAGAGTTAATCCATGTTGTAATATGTACCAGCACTTTATTCCTTTCTATGGCTACATAATATCCCCTTGCATGGCTATACATTTTGTTTATTTATCAGTTTGAGTTCTTAGGTCACTTGGATAATGTTTCCATAGTTTGACTATTCTGAATAATGCTTCTATGAACATTTGTGTACAAGTGTTTGTACGGACATATTCTCTTGGGTATAATAGAATTGCTGTGTCATATGGTATTACTATGTTTAACTTTTTAAGGAACTATCAAACTGTTCCCACATCTGCTACACCATTTTACATTCCCAGCAGCAATGGATGCCAGTTCAATTTTTCCACATCTTCTCTGACACTTGCAATTATCCGTCTTTTTTTTTATTATAGCCACCTGAATGGGTGTGAAGTGGTATCTCATTGTAGTTTTGAATTGCATTGCTCAAATGACCTCCCAGGATTTTTTGCATTTAGTAGGAGACAATGCTTTAATCTACAAGCAAGAGAATTTAGAGGACCATCCACTATCAGTCTTAGCCCAAGAGGCTAGACTAAGCCCTGGTATAGTAGCAGAAGGCATTTTCTTTAAAGAATCAGATGTTCATTTGTTCATTCACTCATTCATTCAGTAAATATTTATTAAATCCTTACTGTGTTCCAGACACTCTGCTACACATTGAGATTCAGGGTAAACGTGACTGACATGCTCCTACCCTGATGGAGCTTATATTCTAGTAAAGGAACTGATCATTAAAGAACTAATAAGTGCACAACTAATCATTGAATATGTTAGAATAAGTACTACAAGAGAAGTATACGATGTTAAAAGAAGGTAGAAGGGAGGAGCCTGACCAGCCCTACTGAGGCACTGATAACTTGGAAGTCCTGGACTGGAGGGCACCTGCCTTGTTAAAGAAGCTGGACTAACACCAGCATCATTTGAATAGTTAAAGACAGGGGCAGGAGATGAAGTGGGAGAGGTGGTGAGGCCCAGATTACACCTGGGGAGGAGTGGGTAGACTTTACTGTGAGTGCAGAAGGAAGCTACTGTGGTCCTCCAAGGAAGAGACTACAGGGTCTGGACTAGGGGAGGAAGGAGTCAAGAATTCTGCAGGGGGTAGAAATGGAGCCTTTGGTGAGAGATGGCTGTGGGGAATAGACAAGGAAGAGAAATCAAAGATGCCCACTAGGTCTTTGGTCTGTGCCCCTAGGGGGATATCTCAGTGCCATTCAAGCACTGAGATAGGGACAACTGGAGAACCAGGTGTGGGGCAGATGACCAGAAGCTCAGTTTTGGATGTGTTGAGTTTGGGGGTACCTGTAAGCTACCCAGGTAGAACTGGGAAGGAAGTAGCCAGACTCTCCAACTTAGAGTCCATAAGTCACCTTCTGTTCTCCAAACACGGGAGGACACAGTGAAGAAATGAGGATACACTGACAAGGGAGTGTAGACGTGTGGCCTGGGAGCCCCCATGTGCTGGAACAGCATGCCTGTGCCACAGTGCATGCATGCACCTTTCTGGGTGGAAATTCTCCTGGCATGTGGCTCCATGATACCCGGATTTGGGCTATAGTGACTTGGAAAGGCCCTGCCATCACAGAGGAGCAGGCCCAAGGTACTTCTTTCGGAGGTATAGAGGCCTGTGGTTGCTCTTCTCCATGCCCTCTGTGGCCAGCTCGCCCATTGCCCTCCCTTTCTGCCTTTACTGGGGCCCAGCCTAGTCCCCATGGTAGGTGTGGTTCTGGTTGCCTCATGCTCAATGCAGCTCAGCCTGGGGCCCATCTCCCTTTAGGAGCTGGTCTCTGCCTCTCAAAGCCTCACTGAGCACTGGCACGTATATGTGACAGGCTCACATTTGCAGCTCTGATCTCACTACCAGCACCCTCACTGCTCTCTCAACTTGGGAAGAACCAGCACTGAGGTTGTAACGGTGAGCCTCTGCCACCTGTGGCTAGTGGCTGCGCCTGGCAAGTTCTATGACTTAGCCAAGATCCACAAGAGGACCTGGGCTTGGGGACTAGGTAGTGTTTGCATTCATCTGCTTTTGTCAAGCTTTAATGCTGACATGCTTTTTCCACAAGGAACTGCGTAACTAGTGAGATACTCAACCGGGGCCAGGAGCCCTGAAGCCTTGTCACAATGCACATCATGACTCTGGACAGGCACCCCGCTGTGTTCCCTCCTCACTCCTCCTTTGCAAAGTAATTGAAGGGCAGGACAACCTCTGGGTCCTCCCAGCAACAGGATTTTACAACTTGCAGGTGTGGTCACTCAGCTATTTCTCTTCTCTGTCCCTTTCCTAGTTCCCTGGGTCTCACTGACCCAGAAGCAGGGCAAGGACCAACAGGACACCTTCTCTCCCCAGCCAGTATGTGGATCCCATCTAGATTTGGGCTTGAGCATACAAGGAAGACCCCAAGATGCAGAAGTGGGGCCCCAAGATGCCAGCTCAGCAGCAGGCATGATGTGGAGGGGAAAGTGGGAGCTAGGCCTGCCCGCTGGGTTTTATCAGCAAGCTCCTCAGACATATACAGAGGAGAGCTGTGTATACACTCCCAGTCCCCCACGCTCCATCTGTCTCCCCTCATGTCTAAACACTGAGGGCGCCAAGTGCCTGCCCTCCTCCTCTCACCCCTACTTCTGTGGGAGGTGGTAAAGACTCAGTCCCCTGGGGAGATTGGGCCAGCCAAGGTAGGATGGGCCACCTCAGTCAGGAGACCACTGCTGGGTGGGACCAGAGAGTTGGGGAGCAGGAGCCCGTTTCTGAGCAGACACAAAGCTGAGAAGACTATCCTATAGATGGAAACTGATGTTTGGGGCAAGAATTTTAACCTGAAACCAACTTCCTGGATATCATCCCCGATGGGAGCAGAGTTGTTGTTATCTTCCTTTATCAAACAACTCTGATCGATACAGTGTTCAGTCTGGGTTAACAGCCTTTAGCCCAGTCCTGTTCTGACCCAGTTTTCACACCCACACCCCTTCCCTAGCCCCATCTCTTCCCCAGCAGCCTGAAGCCCGTGATGCATGGCCTGGACTGTCCAAGGCCCAGAGGCTCCCCCCAGAGGCTACAGCTGAATACGCAGAGGGCTGATTGACATGGAAGGCATGGAGAAGATCAGGGATGCTATGGAAATGGGGCTTTGTGGCCTTTGTAGTCTTAATGGGGGACTTGAAGCCAGCTAATCCTTGAGGTCAAGGAGAAAGAGAGTGGAAGTTAGAGTCCTCCCCATCTCCCCAAATTTCATAAAATGATAGTATCTAACAAATGCCTTCAAGCCCCAGATTCCCACCCCTAACCCTCTCCAGCCACTCCTGGGTCTACCATAAGAGCCTAGGCAGTGCAGAGAATGTTGGGATCACCTCCCTGCACCACCTTGTACCTTTGTTCCCCCACGTCAGATGTCCATATCCCACCCACCTGCAGGGGAGCCCCTAGAATGGCAAGCAGGGAAGCAACAGAGTAAGCCCTTATCCAGCAGTGAACAAGGTTTCTGCTATCTTCTCATCCCCTCCAAGAAAAAGAAAATCTTCCTGACCCCTTGGAGGTTTGCCTCTGAGCAGGGATGCAGGGCCTCTCTGAGAAGACAGTCACAGCTCATGGTGGCCTTCCATTTGCCTTGTTGATGATTGAGAAGGACCAGCAGGCCTTCCATTCACAGTCATTGCTGCAGTTTCCAATGATCATCTGGTTTTAAGGTGTGACATGGGGGGCCAAGAAAGAGGTAGCCTCTGGGGCCTGAGGTGGTCTCAGTGAGTCACTGGCACGTGTCTCTCATACCTTCAGTGAGTACCACTCTGTCTTCCTGGTCGGGGCACGCCCGGAAGTGCAATGAGACAGCCAAGTCCTATTGTGTCAATGGAGGTGTCTGCTACTACATTGAAGGCATCAACCAGCTCTCCTGCAAGTAAGTGACCGGTATGGGTGGGCATGGGGAAAGGAGTAGGGTGGGAGAGGCTAGGGCAGAAGTGGAGGGCTCTAGGAAAAGTGGGCTGCAAGCCACTGACAAGGGGTCCCCAAGGGGTATAGACAAGAAATGTGCCCCACTTCCCAGCCCTTTCCAGGAGTATAGGGAGATGTAAGCTGTAAGGGGCTGAAAGGCTTTTGCTGTCCCAGTTTCCCAGGCCCCTACTCACCCCACCTCCTGATGTCCACCCTTCCACCAACACCCTTTAGGGAGATGAGGATGCCAGTCTACACCTTCTGTGGGCACTGGGAATCTGTTCTCTCTCTGTCTCTTTCTCTTTCTCTCTCTCTCTTTCTCTCTCCCTCTTTTCCCTTCCCCAATCTCTCAGCAACTTTACAAATGTTGTTCTTGATGAGTATTTCCCAGGGGATGTCTTCCTCAGCAGTGAAGAGCCTGGAAGGGTGAGGAAGAGCACAGGTTCCAGGGGTCTTAGTAGCTAAAGGTCCTACTCTCGTAGTCTTGAGGAGAGAACACAATTCTTACCCCATGATCTGGCTGCCCCCCACGCCCCGCCTTACAGAACCTCAATGTCCAGATATGCTCTGGATGCTGCCTGGCCCCCTGTAGTCCCCAACCCCCTCCCTATGGGGTGAGAAAGGCTGCTGAGACACCAGCAAGGGCACCATGTTGGAGGTGGCCCAGTACAGGAGGTCAGGGTTGAAGAGAGGCTTAAGTCTGCCTTCTCTGCCTTCCCAAGGGCCAGGGCCTACTCTCCAGCCCAGTGGGGCTGCCCTAACAGGATGTCCAAGGAGCTCAGAACCACCTCCTCTGCTGAGCAAATAGGGTAATTGGGGACATCGTATGACGGAGAGCTTGTTTGGGCCCTGTCAGATCTTCTGGACAGCTGGGTCCACAGCACTCTCTTGACAGATTCTCTGGTAGGTGAGTGAGGAGTGAGGGGAACTTGGTGAGGGCACCTTAGGCTCTGGGCAGATCTCGGGGAAGAGGGGAGGGAGGCTAGTTATCAACTTCAGTTTTGTAGCCCAAGTCTAGGGCCCTGGCAAGGTGCCAAAGCTGCCCCATTCCCATGGCATCTGGTGGTATGGATGGAGATCAGAGGGAGGTGATTGGCCTCCTCACAAACAACGTAAAGTTCAGCATCCTCAGCTCTTCTGCCCCAGGCTGACAAGGACCACTGCCTCTGGTCTCTGGCTCCAGATCTGCAGCTCCGTCCTGAGCCACAATCTCTCCCATGTTAGGAGTCCAGGTCTTTCAAAGGCCCTCCACTCAACAATGTGTTAGTGAGAGGCTATGCCCCCTTCATATCCACCTCTTGGTGGTGGGTTAGTTTGGTCTGGACTGCCAGACACAACTATGGCTCTTGCCCTCAGCTAGCCTTCCTGGCCCTACCCTTTACACACTGCCATGCCCTCTCCCCCCATCCTAAATCTCAGGAGACAGACCCAACAGAACTCTAGGGAGTTCTCAGCCTGGACTTAGCCCTCATCCTTTCCCTCCTTCCTCTAAGAGGCTCCTGCTTTAGTATTACAGACCCTGGGAACATGTCAGCCTTGAAAATGCTCTGAGCTCTTTGGTACAAATCTACTAGAAACTCACAGGGACGGTCTAGCCCTGCAGCCCTTTCTCCTTGCCCTTTTCAGGTCTCTTCTCTTCCCTGGGTCCAGGGCCATGGGGGCCCAGGGCTCCAGCACTAGAGTTCAGTGTGAGAAAGAGAATGATAGGATCTCTGGGCTTTTAGAGGCCCCTGCTGGCAAGGCCGCATACCTCAGACCCCTTAAATCTGAGAGGAGCAGACACAGGAGGTCTGCTCCTGAGCCACTGAGAAGATGGTATTGCTGCCCCCCCTATTTCTACCCCTGGCCAGGGCCACTAGGGTTCATTGCTTAGAACTTGAACTTGGTACCCACTACCCTCCCCAACTCAGTCCCCTCTGGGTCAGGCCCAGCCTGGCTCCTGGAACCAACTTTCCTAACTCCCTTTCTCAGCCCTCAGGGGAGGAGGGGCCTCCCTGGTGGGGACTTCGGACAATAAGATGAGCAGCCCCTGCGGGGGGGGCAAGAGGCCAGATGCTCAATGCTGTGCTGGAGAAGGGCAGGGTGGGAAGGGGGGGCAGGGCAGAGCCCAGAGGCCTTTCTGGGGGTGGGCAAGCTGGGAGGGAAGGGGGGCAGGCCAATTGGGGTTCCTGATGACACCTGAATGAAATAAAAAAGAAAAGCATTTAGGAAACGGAACTCACGTCTTACCATTTGTGCTGTTTGTTTACTTTTTATTTTGATTTTTTTGCATTTCCGCTTAGCTTGGATAATGAAACTAGACTGGTCAGTTTCATTCCAGTTTCTATAAAAATCAGTTTTCCTTCCTGGTTTTCTTACACTTGTTGTCGTGTATTGGTTCAGAGCCCTGCAGGGAGTGTTGGAAAGCAGGCACACTCCGCCCCTCCTGTTTTTCTGGAATCCAGAACCAAAAGAAACAGTGTCACTGATACTGAATTTTGTTTTAAAAAAAGAAAACTCAGGGGGATTTGAAAATGGGGATCCAAATCAAGGTGACTGTCTTCTGTCTGGGCCAGACAGAGGCCTCTGCACTTCCTCTTGCTGCTTTCTCCTCTTCTCTCCGTGTTTTTGTAGAGCACGGTTGGTGCGTGACTCTTGGGGACTGGTTCAGGGGATGATGACAGAACAAGACTCTCTTTCCGGCCCTGTGCACATACCAGTGGCATGCCTCCCTTTCCCATTGGCTCATCCTCCCCACCCCTTGTGTCCCTGCACCACCACCCCCGCTGTGTCCAGGTGGTTCCCAACCCATACCCATCTGCCTATTCATCCTCACCACATCTCCAGCCGCACCCGTCATGAGGTCAGAGACCCTTCACCCTTCCAGTGCCCGGGGGCACACCCTCATCCTCATCCTCTCCTTCCCCCGGGTGAGGGCAGCACACATGGCATTATCCCCAGGCTACCAAATGGAGAAACTGAGGCCCAGGAGGTGGGGTGGGGAAATGGAGAGGTAGAGGGCCTGACCTCTCTGTCACCCCAGATGCAGCCCGTGGGCCCTCCTCTCTGCCCCTCTCACCCCTGCTCTTCTCCAGCCCTGGGTACAGACCTTCCCAGAGTCACAGCTGATGACTTGGTGGGAAGGGCTGGGAAGGCTGTTATCTGCTGCTCCTTCTAATCTGTCCTCTGTGCCCCTGAAACTCGGAGAGTAAATCCCCATTTGAGTGGGAACCCACCAACCACCACCCACCCAATCACACTGAGTTCAGACACCTGTCCTGGTTTCTAGACTAATGTACCCTGTACCCTTTAACCCTGATTTTGAGTGCAGGTTAAAGAAACTGTAGACATCCCCCTCCCCCAACCCTTCTCCAGGGAAGCCCCAGCCTCCAGGATGTGGCTCCTCCTCAACAAGCAAGGCTAAGGAGAGAGATAGGAGTGTCCAGGAGCCCCTGCAAGGAGCCAGTGCCCCAAAGAGCTGCCTTGGGTGTCCTCCCACATACATTGCGCCTCTTCTTTTGTTCATTGGGTGGGGAACATGCTTTCCCAAGGCAGGTAGGTTAGAAACATAATTTTGCACTACTCCAGGGGGCATAATTCAAGTTGTAGACTGTGTCGACGATGCCACCTGGAGTTGTGCAACTCAGTGGCCATGAAAGACTTGAGGATGCAGTTGCATAGACCAAGCTGGATGTGGGATCAGGGATGTGTTTAGTTATCACTGGTTTCCAAGACCCATTCAGCAGTGGGAATAAATTTCACCCTTGTTACCCACTGCCCCCTGTATAACCCTATTCTCTCTCTTAAACACACACACACATTCATTCACATACACACACAGACTTTCTTGTTTTCCAAAAGCTGGGCTAAGCTCAGATTGGACACAGACACATCTCTTTCTTGTTCCTTTATGGATTCCAAGGGTCATTTGGGCAACTTCCTGGGTCTTTATCCTCTCTCCCCAAAGGTGCTTCTACTTGAAAAAAAAAATCACTTCTCCCCTGTTAGCCCCCATCCCAAATGGACACCAATTTTGGAGAGCCAAGGAAGAAGAGTTGAGCTTGGCTGGAGTCAGTTGGGAAGCCTCACCCACTCCCTCCATTTTCTTGGGCTGGGATGATTAGGAACCAGGCCCAGGGATCCAGAGAAGGATGTATTGCCAAGGGGCTGGAGGTAGCCTTTTTCTCCAAGCCATCACGCCCACCAGGACGAGTATGCATCTACCTCACTGGCAGCCATGGGCATACTTCCCAGCCCTCCAGCAGCTCCCATTGGCCAGATACACTCCTACCAGTAGCAAGAACAGCTTCCTGCTTCCTCTGAGGGAGATTCATTCCATCAAGGCCCAGAGAAACTCCAGCTCTACGCTCACTTCCCACACCCATTCTTCACTGCTCCGGGTGAGGTTTGAGGGCCACAGGGTTTTCATGAGTATCTATCACAGGCAATGCCACCACCCACTCCAAGCCCAAGGGACTTGCTGATGGTCAGTGTACACTAGAGTGCTACAAGAGGTAGAGCACACTCACCTCTTGAGGAAGTTGAGATTGATCAATATTGTACAGTAGCCTATTGTTGAGGAGACACTGGTCAAACCCAGAAGAGGTGATAGACTTACCTGATTTCCTAAGGAAGAAAGGGCAGGGGCAAGATAGATTCATCTTTGAGAGAGCGAGTTGTTTGTGTGAGGATGGCAGTCTGGCCCTGCCTGTTTCTCCTTAGGTATCTGGCCTTGTTGGGCTTCGGAAGCAAGTGCAAGGCTGGACGTGTCTCCCAGAAATCTGGAGACTGGGGATCACTTGAGGGGAAGAGTGGCAGCCAGAAAGCAGAAGGAAGTGCACCTTTAGGAGGAAGATAAGACAGGGAGATAGGAGCAGGTGGTGCAGTAGGGGAGGCAAGGTGGGAGAATGAGACCAGGCCAGAGCGAGGCAGTGAAGGAGAAACAAGTCACAGGGAAAGGACAGGGTTTCCATTAGGCCCCCGACACGGAACGGGCTCCGAGTGTCCCCAGTGAGCCTGCTCCAGCTCTATTATGATTCTTGCCCCCTGAGGCCAGATACTGCACACCTGGCCTCAGGAAGGCCAACTTGGGGATGCTGGTCATTCAGGCTCTTCTCCAATCTCCCTTTTTTCCCACTAAGCTTTTCCCATGTGTATTACTCTAGAGCAGACTTCCCCAAACTGCATTCTACAAGGTTTCCTCAAAAAAAACAATTTCCATGGTCAAATAAATTTGGGAAATACTGGAAAGTTTAGCTATTTCCATCTGCAAAACTCTTCATAGCCTTTCCTGTGCTGATAGATACTGCAACTCTGCAAAGAGCTTTGGGAATGGATTTCCTAAACTTATTTGGCCACAGAACCCTCTTTGAGAGACTAGATAAGACATCACCAAGGTCACTTTTGTCACAGGCACACAATCTGGGAACAACATTCTGGAGTTCTCCTGTGAGCTTTCTGGGGGCTGTTTCATGGATGACAGCACCTGCCAAGGGCCCTGGGGAGAATCATTTTGTAGGGACTGAAAGGAGTGGCTCCCTATAACAGTACTCCTCGAGTCTCCCAGCACCCTGCCAGTGGATTGCCTGGTACCAAGGGGCTACAGTTCTGGCTTCATGGGGCACCAGGCAGGTAAGAAGGAAAGTTTCAACAACCATTAGGACTATAAGTCAGTAACTTCCCAGCTTTCCCCCACCCCACTTCCCTCAATCATCCTCCTCCCTACCCTTCCCCCACCCTCCCCACCACCCACGGAGCCACATCTATTAGAGAGATTTTTTTTAATGAGATTTCAGAGCCCTCCACCCAGCCCTGACTCCAGCCCCTTCAGCTACAAGTGTGACCCCAAATGCCTGACTTGATTTTTCTCATTCATCACTGTGCACTTTGATTTCTAACCTTAGCCTCGCGGGTGATGCCAGTTTGTTCTGTGATTTTTCCCCTTTTCCTTCTCCAGATGTCCAAACGGATTCTTCGGACAGAGATGTTTGGAGAAACTGCCTTTGCGATTGTACATGCCAGATCCTAAGCAAAGTATGTTTGAAGATACAAACACAAGTCCCTGCTCCTTAGAAAGCTTCCGGGTGCAGTCCCCACCTCCCCTCCCGATGTAGGGCGTAGGGCCAGGGGTGTTGGTTGTTTTGATCTTTGGCTGTTTTGTTTTGTTTCTCTTTTTTCTTTTTTGTATTTTGGCTTGTTAGTTCTTTTGTTTTGTTTTGTTTTGTTTTGTTTTGCTTTGTTTTTCATTTTTGGCCTAATCCTTGGGTTTAAAGTTCAGGGCTGCAGGTAAGGGGCAGAGTGGCAAGGCCAGTACAAATGGTAACGGTGGCAAGGAACCCAGCTGGCATTGGCAGGAGCCTGTGCCGGGGTGTTGCAATGCCTGTGTCTTGCTATCCTGGCTCTCTCTTTCTGGTTTTCTTTCTTTTGGTAGGTGTCCTGTGGGATACACCGGGGACAGGTGTCAGCAGTTCGCAATGGTCAACTTCTCCAGTATGTCTCTTTCTTCTATTTCTTCTCTTCCCTGGTGACTGACAGTCTCCCCCTGTGGGAGGGATGGGGCCTTGCTTAGAGAGACTAGGGAAGGCTGTGGGGGTGTCCTGGGCTCCTCTCAGTCCTCGATGCACACCAGAAGCCTGTGCAGAGGAGACCAATACACCCCCTGCCACCCCTACCTCCCCACGTCGGCTGTACTGCTGGGCTCTGTAATGCTAGATTCTCTCTACAGCCAGCCAGAGCTACACTTGGGCCTTTTACCACCTCTGGGGTCAGGCAGCCTGGCCAGAATGGAAAGAGGCATTTGCAGAGCCTCCAGCTACCTCTGAAGCCCTGTTTGACGGTGTCAGGCTGCCAGTGGGGCCTGCAATGACTGTATGCATGAGTGTGTTGGTGTGTCTGAGCACAAAAGAACGTTCTCAAAAAGCCTGTCTTCCAGTCTGACCAGAGTTTGTTTTGTTTTGGGGTGGAGGGGGCATTGAGGGAGAGGAGACCCAGTGTTATTGTTTCATGGATGCCAAAGACCAGGGAAATGTATGTGGCTACAGGATGGGGTAGAGTAGAGGGTTGCTGCAGATGCTAAAAGACAGAAGGAATGAGGACTCAAGGCGTAATTGGGGGCATTTAACTACTAACCAGAAGTCTGGTGGTTCAAACCCACCATCTGCTCCTCGGAAGGAAGATTAGGCAATCTACTTCCACAGTGATACTGCCTCAGAAACCTAAGGAGGGGTTGCTATGAGTCGGCTCCGACTCAACAGCAGTGAGCTTTTCTCCAGGACCTCTCTGGTTTTAATCCCCATCCAGGACTGTAGTCCTTTCCTTTTTTACTACAGAGGTTGGAGCTTTCTGGTTTGCAAAGTTTGGTTTAAAAAAAAAAAAAAATGTGAGCCTTGTGCCCCAAGGATGCAGCCGTAATTATGAAATGTTTATTTGGAACCTGAGAGCAGTTCCTTCAAGTACCGCCAGGTGGAGGTGGAGCAGAGCAAAAAGCTACTGGTTAACCTTGGACTCTGTTTGGGGCCCAGTGGTCTATTGACCTGCAGGGCCCGTTCCTGGTCATCCCATCCCATCCTGCAGGACAGACTAAACCACTTCCCAGCCCTCCCTCCACCTCCTCCAGAGGAGCACAGCTAGGTCCTGTGAGGAGTTAGGAACTGGAGTGTGATGGGGCCTGGGCTTTGGGAGGTAGAACTCAGGAACATGCCCAGGGTAGGGCCAGGGGGCCATTAAGGTAGGCCTTGAGGAAAAAGGGTTTTGGGGTTTGGGTCTCAGGATGGAGAAATGAACCTTCCCAGTCCTCCTCAGACCATAACACAAAGGCCCAAAAATGCCCCCACACACACACACACAGGAACCCAGAGGCCAAAGCTTGGAGAAGAAAGTAGAGACCCCAGTGAGGATGAGGACCTATTAGCCTAGATGGCCGACTGTCTTGATAAGAGTGTGGGAGGCAGCACCTCCCCAGGCCTTTCTGGTCTGAGGCCAGTGAACACAACCAGGTGCAGAGAGGAAGGCTTCAGGGGTAAAGGCAGAGTCTATGGACAGGCATATGGCCCAACAGAATTCTCCAGAGCCCAAGCTCTAGGAAGAATTGCAGAGTCAGATCCAGCCTCATGTAGAGGACTGTAGAGCAGGAGGGGCCTAAGGAGGGTCAGGGTAGCAAGGCAGAGAACAAGGATCAGGGAAAGAGGCAATGGTAGGCATATTCTCTTTCACCCTTAGGCCCTCAGCCTCCCTGACTTATGGGATTGTTCTGGACAGGGACTCCCAGCCCCTCTGGAACTCAGTTGTTGTCCAAGGCTTCTCTGGCAGCTGGGCTTCTTCAGCTTTCAGCTGAGATCGGTTGAAAGGGTCAGCTGGGCTGCAGGCCCCCAGAAAGGAGCCTGGAAACGCGGTTCCTGACCTTGCTGCCTAGGGCTATCATTATTATTACTGTTAGTGTTTTGTAAAGGATAGTTCTTAAAAAGGCAGTACAAAGTGGCGGTTCGGTGTTCAGGCTTTAGATTCAGATCAACCTGCATAAAAATGCCAGCTGCTGCACTTACTAGTTCTGGGACCTCATTTAAACTCTGACTTTGTTTTCCCATCTGTAAAATAGGGATAATGATACTTAAGCTTATAGAGTTGCTGCAAGGAAATGAAATAACACACATGAAGGGCTTAGCAGAGAGCTGCCATTGTGGTTGGAGGAACGTATAGCACTTCTCCCAGCTACAAATGGCGATGGGGGGGGGGGGGCAGCATCAGTCCCCCAGAGCCTGACTCCCAGCACCCTGAGCAAAGTGTCTAAACAGGTTACCTTTGCAGAGATCAAACAGAGCCTGTGGCCAGAATAGCATTCTGAAGCTTCTCCTCTTTCTACTGACAGCCCTTCTACTCCAAGAGGCCAGGCTCATCCATCTTTACACACTGCCCAATGCAAATAGCATACATGCCTGTACACATACACACACACAAGCACCTTGTCCAAGCATCCTGTGACTGTGTGTCATGGGACAATGTCCAGGATGAAGAACTTGCATATTGTCTCATAAGCCTTGGGAGTCCAGCGTTTAGCTTGCCATGGTTACTGGTCAGTATGCAAATTTCTGCCTAATAGGACCTGCCAGCCCCATTCTAGCCAAGTAGTAGCCAATGAACATGATGAGTGAGAGAGTGCTGGGGGGGAGGGGGACAGACATAGCTGGATGCCCCTCAGAATCCACCTCCCTGCTTCCCAGTGAGAGGGCAGCAGACTACTACCATCCTGGTGGCTGGCCAATCCCTCAGTGGCATCACCAGTCACAACAGCCACTGCTGATCCACCCTAGAGAACACTGACTTTTAACTCAAAAAGAAGGCCAGTCAGGAGCCCCAGAAGCTGCCACTGCTACCATGTGATGCCCAGAGGGGTGACACAAAGGAAACCCTTTAAGGGCTTTGGGAACCCTGCTTAGTTATCCAGATGGTCATTGTCTTCTGTATAGCAGTCAGACCTGCCCAGAGACTCAATAGGTAGAAATAACTAACTGGAGCTTAACACTAGAAGACTGGAGGTTTCCAGTCTTCCTCCTGCTACCTTAGGAAAGTGTCCTAGCACTAGTGGGCCCCAGCTACCTTACCTAGTATAACAGCTTTATCCAGAAGTGGGCCCCAGAGCAGACCTATGAACTACAGTCCTCTTAGGCCCCCTAGTGTGACCAAGCTGAGCTGTTCACTCTCAGGGGAGCACAACTAGGCATTCAAACAATGTGAGCTCTCTCAAGCTGCCTGGAGGATCCCTGGGGCCACAGGATGTACTTACTGCTTAGTGAGAGCTGCCCCAAGGACCTTTAAAGTTTGTCAAGTTCATACTGTCTGCTCGGCACTACTGGCTAGCTCTGGGAGGCCCTAGGAAGGGTGGACCTAACTGTGCAAATGCTAACTTTCTCCTTTCTCCAAGCTGTAAGACAGCAAAGAAACCCAAAATTCACATTGACTGCCTAACCTCAGGCTGAACAGGAGTGCTGGTATGGTCTCTGCTTGGATCTGTGGGGCCTAAACTCCAGATCTTTCTCAATGTGCTTTCAGTCAGAGCCATCTTTATTCCCAATTCAGAGCCACTCCACTCTCCCACTCTTTTCCAAACGCAGAGACCTCTGGGATACCCATCAGAAACGGTGGAGAGATCAGGGATGCAGGGGAGAAGCACATTAGAACACAGAGTCCAGCTCCTCCCTCATCTAGCTGGGGCTTACTGTGCATATGGGGATGCCACACAGTGGGCATGTCTGGCTGCCAGGGCCTGAGCCTTGTGCTCTCCAGGCCTACTCACTTCTCTATGTGAGAAAACAGGGACTATGCTTTACCCGTATTCACCATCAAATTAGGGACTAAACTGAGTCAAGGCCTGCAGACAGGTGCTACATTAGAATGGTAGGGGAGCATTTGAAAACACTGTTGAGATTTCTGGGTTCCTGCCCCAGAGATGGTGATTCCATTCATTGAGACCATTCAGAAGACAGCCTGCTTTACAGCTCTCAGAGATCCCACGGCTAGGCTTGATCCCCATTTAACAGGTGAAGAGACTGAGACCAAGATTGATTGGATGTTGCTCAGGGTCCCACAGAGGGTCAGAGGCAGAGCTGATTCTTGGGCTTTGGTGGCATGGACCCTGAAAGCACATATTAACAATGTGGTTCCACTTCAAAGAGTGTGAGTTGTCGGCCATCTGAGGAGCACAGGTATTCTATAAAGAACCTGCTTGTCTCTTTCTCTGAGGGGCAGTTTACTTTTCCAAGTAGTGAAGTCAGGTGCAGACTCTGGCCTAGCTTCTGCAGACTTCTGGGGGGTTGGCAATGTCAAATGAAGTGGCCTGCCGCCTCTCCCCACTCCTGCTCCACCACAGAGCACTTCCCCACAAGCGCTAAGTCTCTGTGCCCAGGTTCCTAGTAGATGAGCAGGTCAGCTTAGACCTGTGGCACACCCTCATTCTGAACTTAGAAAATGCTGGTAAGAAAAGAAGCCCCAGCAAGGATACTGGGGAGGAGGGAAGGCACATAGGGCCTCTTGAGGGAGCCCTGGGCAAGTGGTCTCCGGGTAGGGCTTCAGAGTGCTGAAGGTCCTGGTACTGGAGCTAGAGGGGGAGGACGGGGGCTCCTCAGACCCTCACCCCCGCTGCCCTTTCCTCCCTGGGGACATTTGCCGACTGACTCTTCCACCTCTGCCTCCCCACCAGGTACTAACTCCCATAGCTCACCTCTAAAGAACCTGCCCTGCCTGATGACTCTAACATTTCCTCTCTCCACCCTCCTCAGGGGCTCCTGGGGACTGGGTGCCAGGGAAGGAGCTCAGGGGGCCGGGAGGGGATATCACTAACCTGCTTTCACCTCACAGGCTGGCTGCCGGTATCTGAAGAGTCCTGACCAACGTTTCTTTCTCTCTCTCTCTCTTTCTTTCTCTCTCTCTCTCTTTCCCACCCTCTGACCCTCCCCCATCTCTGTCTGACCCTCCTCTCCTCTGCACTGCCAGAGCACCTTGGATTTGAATTAAAGGGTACGGAACCTTTATGTATCACTCAGAGCCATCCACAAAGCCCCTCTCTACAGCCCCTGATACCATATGTGCTGGATGTCTTCTTTCCTTTCCAAAAACTTTCAAAGGGATGATTCCAAAAATCTCTCCTGGCCACATCAAGATGTGCTATCAGAAACTAGGTTGATTTGGGGGGTGGGGGTGGGAAATAAGAGAATCTCACAAAGAACACATACCCTGGGGTGCAGATTGTGTCCCCAGTGTGCAGTAGTACCCCTTCTACAGGTCCCCGAGGGGAGGGCCCCTCCTGAACTGTGTGCAGCCCAGGGGGGCTGACCAGACAAGAGCCAGGAATGGTGTTAACAGTGAAAAGCCTATGTCTGGAAGCCCCAGAAGCCTGGTTTGGAGAGTTGTGTAGAGAGGCATCCCTTTCAATTTGACTTCAACCCTCTTTCTTTTCACCATTTCCATTTCCATTGCTTTTCATTCTGCACCAGGCTAGTGGCTGATAACTCCCTGTCTGTCTGCCTCCTGTCCTGTGTCTGCCAAGCTTTGCCATCTGCTTGAGGCTGTCACCCCCTCCATGATCAGTCTCACAATGGCACTCACGTGCAACTGTGGGCAAGACCAAGGGATGGCGTTAGGCAGGGCTGGCCTCCAGTGCCTGTCCACACCCCAGCCCCCCCAGCCCCCCCATCCAGCTTAGAACTTTACCTCCTTCCCTCTGCTACCCTCTGGCCCGTGGAAGACTCCTTGGGCTAGAAGGGACTTTGATGAGGTCAGTCTTTCCAACTCTCTAGCTTTGTGCTGGGAGGCTCCACCCTGGCCTCAAGTGTCCAGACATATCATAGCAGGAGAGATGTAGGAGCTCAGAGGAGCTGAGGCTTCTTCAGGGAGACATGGTGGGGAGCTACAGTGATGAGAAGGCTGTCCTGTGGCAGGTTTCAGGAGGTCTTAGTTCCCCCACCACCCAGTGCCTATCAACTGTTCTCAGTAAAAGATAAGAGTTGTGTGTAAGAGTGTGTCCATCTATCTCTGATGACAGTCATGGGGTGGACAGAAGAGGACCGAGTCTGTGTGGTATCTGTGATTGGGGCGGGTGTAGGTCTATGTGTGTGTGTCATGTGTACTCTGTCAGTGTCCAGAAGTAAAAAGGTATCTGTCTTATTAGGTCTTTCAGTGCAGGAGGGGAAGATGTGTAGGGGCGAGGTAAAACATCTTTGTGCAGTTGGAACCTGGAGTGTGCAGAGGTGCGTCTGTGAGTACATGTAGGTATGCATCTGTATCTCTAAGGGTGGTCTGAATTCACTCCTCAACTCCACAAATAACTACTGAACAGTAGAATTCACCAGACTCTGGGGACATAGCTCACAGAGTCTCTGCCATAAACCAACAGGAAAGCTATCAGGTGGTGATAAGTGCTAAAGAGAAAATAAGATAGGTTAACAGGGTAATGCCTGCCTGGAGTGGGCAGCTACTTTAGCTAAGTGTTCAGGGAAGGCTGATGAGGTGACATTGGGCTTGCACCCTGATGAAAAGTAGCCAGCCCTGCAAACAGCAGGGAGGGTGGGGGGTGCGATTTGCAGCAAGGGCACAGCAAGTGTAATGCTGATGTGGTCTTATTCAGTGGATGGAAAGCTGCAGGGTGTCTGTAGCACAGGGAGCATGAGAGAGAGAGAGAGAGGACTACAAGCTGAGATCCAAAGGGAAGCAGGCCCAGGATGTCAGGAACCTCAGAGCCTGAGTAAGGCTTTGGGTTTGATTCTAGTTGCAGTGGTTATTAGATTTGACTTTGGGGTAGAGATTAAACAGTGGTGTGAGGAGAAGGGCAGGAGTAGAACCAGAGAGACCAGTTAGAAGGCTGCTGCAGCCACCCATGTGAGGGTTGGCATCATCTTAGATTAGTTGGAAGTGGTAGAAATGATAAGAAGTGGTCAGGTTGAGGATCTTTTGGGGTGGTAGAGCTGAGAGGACTTGCTGGTAGATGGCGTATCAGGGTTGGTGGGAAAAAAGGGAGTAATGGAGAATGATTCCAGAGTTTGAACCTGAGCAACAGGAAAGTGGTGCTGCCACCAATGAGATGGGAAGCCTAAGAGGACAGGTTTGAAGAGAAGGTAAGAGGTCAATGATTCTCTTTGGCCATGACCCTTGAATGCATGAGGCACAAGCTCCAGGAGAAGGAAGTCAGGGCAGACAATGTAAATTTGAGAGTCAACTACATATAGATGGTATTGGACATCTGGATCAGGATGAGATCACTGAAGGAGAGAGGGCAGATGGAGAAGTCAAAGCACCCTAGGCCCTACTATATCCACACAGGTAGAAGAAGAGGAGAAGTCCCTGGGTGGTGTGAACGGTTAAAGCACTCAGCTGCTAACCAAAAGGTTGGAGGGTGGAGTCCACCCAGAGGTGCCTAAGAAGAAAGGTCTAGCAATCTCCTTCCAAAACGTCAGCCATTGAAAACCCAGTGGAGTACAATTCTGCTCCAATATACGAGGTTACCATGAGTTGGAGTTGGCAACTGGTTAGAGGAGGAGGAGGCAACAACAGATAGAGAAAGATTAGCAAATAAAGTTGGAGGAAGTCCAGGAGAAAGTGGGCATCCAGAAGCCAGGGGGAGTGTGGCCCCAGAAGGAAGGAGTCAGCTGAGGGAAAAACTGTGACCACTGGACTTGACACCAGGGCTGTTTGTGGTAACCATGACCAGAGTGGTCTCAGAGGAGTGATGGAGACAGATCTCTAGAGAGGACTGAGGGGTGAATGGGGAAAATGGAGCTAGAGCTGGGGATCTGCGGAGAGGCGTGTTTGTTTAAGTCACCATACAATTCTGTCAGTGGGCACGACAGTATGTGTATGTGTACCTGTTACTGGAGTGTGTAGTTCTGTGTGTGCATGTGTGCATGTTCCTCTGGACACACGTATCAGTGTATCTTTGTGAAGGAGTCTGTCTGTGCATCAGATAGGTATATGTGTGTCTGGAGGCTCTGTGCCCCTGATCTATACCTTTGCCACAAAAGATGCTGCAAGCCCAAGAGGTTAAGGATGTTTCTCAGGACTCTGTCAAGGATTTCAGGTCCAGTCTCTACTTATCCCTAAGTTGTAAGAAGGGGAGCAGTATGGAAGGGACAGCCAGCAGGTGAGGAAGGGGTAGGGTTTCTGGGCTGAAGGCCTTGAATGTGGTTACTGCTATCACTTTTTCCCTTTTCTCTCTCCTACCTTTCTCTGTTCTAGCAGGGTAGGGGTTGCCCCACCAAGTAATAGGGGATAGAGATAGGCTGGTCTTTTTAATGGCTTTGAGGCCCAGCCTAGCTCAGCTCCTCAGAAAGGTTGGGGCTGCTCCTTGTGCACAAGGGCTGCCCAGGAATTCAGGTAGGCTGTGCTGCCACTCACTGGCTTCTCACAGGCAGAGACAGTGAGGGCTGGTGTGGGCCAGGCCACAACCTGAGCCAGAAGCAAAGGCCTTTCTCCCTGCTCCCTCCCCACGGCCCTCGCATCCCTTCTAATAAGGCCTCTCTGTCTGATCTGCCACCAGCCAAGACAAACCTCTCTCTACCTTCTTGGGGAAGCTGAGCCAGATGTCTGAGTCAGGCCTTTGCCCAGAGTTTATGTGTTAACTGGCTTCAGGAACAACTCCTATCAAAGTTCTTTGCAGCCACCAGGCCATAGTGGACAGGGTCGCTGGCCACGCTGGGCTGCCTCCCCTGCCTATGGCCTTGGGAACCATCCTACCCCGTCCCATCCTCCTGCATTTTCCACTCATGTGGGAAGGGGAAAGGGTTGGGAAGGGAAACTCATGAGGTAGTTGTGTGTGACCAGATCCTTGTGGGGAGGGGGGGTGAGAATGGCGGGAGGTGGGGTAAGCAGAAGGCAATCCAGGAGATGGTAGCAGGGAGGGGACTGGCTGGAGATGGAAGGATTGGAGAAGCGCTATCAGGGCCTGAGCTTGAGGGAGCCTGGGGCTTAGTGGGAGGTCTCTGCATCACTGTCCACATGGGGTCTATATCCTGCCCTGCCCCTCACATCTTTTCTACCTCTGCAGAAGCCGAGGAGCTGTACCAGAAGCGGGTCCTGACTATCACTGGCATCTGTGTGGCTCTGCTGGTCGTGGGCATTGTCTGTGTGGTAGCCTACTGTAAGACCAAGTGAGTGTCAAGCATGTAGGCCAAGCCGGGGCCGGGGGGGGGGGGTGCCTCCAAGATTGTTTTTGTGAGAACAGGCTCTCCTTCCCCACCCACTCTGTCTAAACTCGGCCCCCTACACCCTCCTAAGCCCCAGCTGCCCCTTCAGGGGCCTCTGCAGCTGAGCATGAGGCCAAAGGGCTAAGCCAAGAAGTAGGAGCAGTTAGAGGGTGGAGAAACAGGCTCTAAAGAATGGAACAAAGAATGATCATGAGCACAGGCTTTGGAAGACGTCAGATCTGGGTTCAAATCCAGCTCTGCCATTTCTGAGCAAGTTGGTGACCCTCTCTGAGCCTTAATGGCCTCATCTGTAAAACAGGAATGGTCCTAGTATATCCCTCAAAGGTGAGGGCTTGAGTAGGAGTGTGTAGCTGACCCCTAAGTTCCTGACACAGGCACCAGGGTGGGTGAGGAGGGGCTGCAGAGAGGAAGGCTACATCCCTAGGGAAGAAAAGAGACCTCAAGACACAGCCTGACCCCACACTGGGAGCATTCTAGACACTAGCACATAGAAGATGGGGCTGGCCACCTCTGTGCAGAGATGTGGGGGCAGATCCTCAGGGCAAGGAAGATAAATGGACAGGAAGGGGAGCTTCAGATAGAACAGTGCAAGCTAAGAGACAAACAGACCAGTCAGGTGTGTTCCCTGAGCATAAGCACCCAGACTAGTTGGAGCAAAGGGCTGTAGTCGGGGGGGGGGGGGAGCATAAGTCTAAAAAGACAGCTGGGCCCAGATGGCATCATAGGGCCTCAAATGCCAGATGAGGTAGTCTGGGTTTATCCTGCAGATGGTGGGGAGCAAACAAAGGTGGTAGAATGATGAGGGCATAAATATGATAGGCTTATCAAATCCATTCATATCTGGGACAAGGGTCTAGGCTGAGCCCCCTGGGTCTGGATATCTGCTGCTTCTATATGTGAAATCTAAGACTCCACCTCCTAAGACAAGAAAGGCCAACAGGGGGCCAGTGGAGGGAGTTGGAGCTCAGGGAACCCCGTCTCTTTAGACTGGGACCAAATGGGAAAATTGAGAACAAGAATTGGAAAGAAAGCAAGCCTCCCACTTGCTTGACTCCCACTATTTTACTCATTTCTTCAACAAACATTCATTCAATGCCTGCTGGACACCAGACACTATGCCAAGCACATAATCAAGTGCCTACAAGTGTGGCCAGTGCTTTGAGTGACAGGTCCAGTGTCATGGGGCACATTCAGGGGCACCTAGCCTCGGCTAGGGAACAAGAAGGGTCTGCATAAGGATTTAGCATTTAGACTGAGACATGAGCAGAGGTGGGCAGATAAAAAGGAGGAAGAGGGGTCCAGGAAGATGGATCAGAGTGTGCAAACGCTCAGAAATAGCCCTCCAAGCATGCAGCAAGCTGGAGTGAGAAGATGACAGTGAGAGAGAGGGCGGGAAAGAGAAGCAGGATACTGAGGGCCAATGAAGGGCTTTAAACAGTGGAGTGACATGATCAGATTTGTGAATGAAACAGATTTATTGAGCACTTACTATGTGCCAATATAAAGCAGTCCCACAGCCATGACTACCTAACCACAGCGCCCTCTTTTTTCTCTTCGTAGTGCTTTACTGAGAGTATTCCTTTCATTTATTTGTTTACATGTTTATTGTTTGTCTCTCCTACTGGCCTGCAAGCACCAGGAGGGCAAGACCCTTGGCTGTCTTATTCCCTGCTGTATACCCAGTGTCCAAAACAGTGTCTGGCACATGGTAAAAGCCAGCACTGTGCTAGAATATTTCATATACTTCTAATCTTCAATGTCTCTATCATCTCATTTTACAGATAAGGAAATGAAGCAAAGAGAGCTTAAGTAACTTGCCCAGGGTTACAAACCTAGAAAGGAGTGGAGCCCTACTCTCTCAGCAGAGCTGATACTCAGTATCACTACACTCAGGCCCTGCTGATTACAGGGTGTTTGATGGTGTCAGGGAAGACTGGGAGGGTCCTGGCTGAGTGCAGCTTGAGCATGGGCCGAGTGGTAACAGTAGACTGCCACAGCAGTCCAGGGCAGAGGTCAGGAAGGCTAACAAGTTCATACATTGTGTTGGAGGCTAGGAGGGCATGCCAGACTAACCCACCCTCCCCTGCACAGAAAACAGCGGAAGCAGATGCACAACCACCTCCGGCAGAATATGTGCCCAGCCCACCAGAACCGGAGCTTGGCCAACGGGCCCAGCCATCCCCGGCTGGACCCTGAGGAGATCCAGATGGCGGATGTGAGTGGTATCCCCAGACCCCTCTGGGCCCTCACTAGACAGCTAGCCTTTTCATGCTCCCTGCTAGAGTGGGCCAGGGCAGGTGCCCACCCAGCCCATGATCAGCCCTGCCTGCCAGATACTGCCTCTCTTGGGTGACTGGCCTTGGTTTGTCTACTTCCTTAAAGAAAAGAGGGGAGTTTGATCTGCTGGGGCCATCGCTGCCCCAACAGTGAGTCACTTCTCATCCAGAGGACCCCTTCCCAACCTAGTACTCAGGGCCCACACTTCCCTATCCCCGCCCACCTCCAAGAGATGTCCATCACTAACTCCTGCCCACCCCTCTGTTCCAGTATATCTCCAAGAATGTGCCAGCCACAGACCATGTCATCCGGAGAGAAACTGAAACCACCTTCTCTGGGAGCCACTCCTGTTCTCCTTCTCATCACTGCTCCACAGCCACCCCCACCTCCAGCCACAGGTGGGCACCCACCAAAGCCCTACCATGCATGGTGATTCCTGTATGCATATTCACCTGTACATATCACATACTTGCCTAAGTACACATACACAAACTGGGCTCTATATTGAGGTCCCCTAAGCAGCCGCAGGAGGATAGAGGTGGGGCTTCAAAGCAGAATCCACAATCAAACATCCCTTCAGACCCTCAGGGGGCCTGATTCTCTATTCCAATTTAAACTAACCCCAGAAGAATAATTGTATCATTTAGCTACCACCTCTCCATTTAGTTTTCTTTTGGCCTCTCTTTATCTGGCATAAAGTGCCGCCTCATTCAAACATCCAGAGTTATTTGATAGCTGCCCCTGAGTTTGCCCACATGAATCATAGTCCACTTTAGCCTTCTCTCCAGAGATGAGAAACCCTGTCCACACAAGCACAGAGGCTGCTTATACAGCTCAAGAAATAAATGGGCTGGCCCTTTTCTTTCCTGGGCAGTCCATGGAATAGGCAGGCCCCCACATATTAGCCACTTGGGTTGGGCTCCCTGAGGTAAGTGGTTAAGAACAATGGGGGTGAAAAAATCCCATAAAAGGGGCCCTGGGATGAGGCTAAAGGGAAGCTGATTGGAGCGAGGAATGGAAGCAGCGTCTGCACATCACAGCCCATCCCTCCATGGGACCCCAGCCCTTCTTCTCCCACAATCAGGATTAGGCATTTGTGATACCACAGGTCAGCCCAGAGGGGAGGAGGGCAATGAGCTGAGGAAACTTAGGATGGAATGAGGAGCCAGGGAAGGGGCGGCCAGGAGACCACGCCTGCTGGGCTTTCCTGCCCTTTCTAATACCTTGACTTGCCCCCACCTGGCTTCCCCAGACACGAGAGCCACACGTGGAGCCTGGAGCGTTCCGAGAGCCTGACCTCTGACTCACAGTCAGGCATCATGCTGTCATCAGTTGGCACCAGCAAGTGCAACAGCCCAGCATGCGTGGAGGCCCGGGCACGGCGGGCGGCAGCCTACAGCCTGGAGGAGCAGCGCAGGGTGGCCATGCCACCCTACCATGACTCCATAGACTCTCTGCGTGACTCCCCACACAGTGAGAGGTCAGTCCTTACCCCGTGGTCTTTCTTGGCCAGATAGGTGCACTGCTGACCCAAGTGGACACTTAGGGTACCTTGGAGACACTCCAAAGAGCCCCATCCTATTTTTCAGATGGACAAACAAGGTCCCAGAGAGGTTAAATGATGTGCATAAGGCCAGACTGGATACATTCTGGGCCACTGAACCCTGGTATGGAGTGACTATATAATGTAATTGTCCTACTGGGATATTTTAGAGTAGAATGAGATGTTATTAGTAATTTTACTGGAACAAATGGACATATGGCTGCCCTATCCTGATGTCACCTAGAGGCCTAGTATCCCAGCAAGAACAGAATGACACCAAGATTATGCAGATGCCGGTAGGGGAAAGGATTTGACCAGTGCAGGATGGCATGAGCCAGAGTGATTGCAGGCCCAGCAGCATTAGCAACAAGACCCCCCCACCTCCCCAGGTCAAGGTGCTGTCAGGTCCCTAAGCAGTGGATGCAGTGAGAATCAGGAAACTCCTCTTCTTCCCTGACTGCTAGCTAGGGGAAGAGAGTAATCACAGGGGGCCAGCCCTCAACCCTTGCTTAGCCCCAGAGTGGTCTTTGGCAAGTAGGGTCTGTGGGAAGAAATCAGAGGAGAGTAACAGTACTAGGCTAGGGAGGAAGGGGAGGAGCAGATGTTCTCCTGTTCTCGTCTCCGCCTACTTGATGCCAGGCCATGTGCTGGACAGGCCTGCGGGGGATCTAGACATGGTCTACTGGTTCCTGCTCCCAAGGAGCTCCCTGCCACTGCAGTTCACATCTATGGAAAAGTGCTAAGCACAGGATACCACTTCAAGGGATACCAGTCTGACTACAAGCTCTGACTATAGGAAGCAGCGAGGTTTTCCAAGACCCACCTTTCCAGGCCCAGCTTCACTACCTTCTATCTGTGTGATCTTAGGCAGGTTAATCCTCTCTGTACCTTCGTTTCCTCAGCTGTAGAACAGGGATAATACTCATCATTCCTGGTTATTGTGAAGGTCACCTGAGATAACGTACATAAAACTCTTAGCTCAGTGCCTGGCATGCACATGGTGCTCAGGAGATGTACCTATTGTTATCAATAATAAGCACAGCAATAAGACTTTTCAGTGCGTGAGTGGGAAAGTAAGAAGCAGAGAGATGGGGAAGAAAAATGTTACAGGCAATGGGAGGCAGTCTTAAAGCACTTATGAACGTGGCTAGTGAGGTGGGGGGGAGCCCTGGTGGTATAATGCCTAAGGCATTTAACTGCTAACCAGAAGTCTGGCAGTTCAAACCCACCAGCCACTCCTTGGAAGGAAGGTTGGGCAGTCTACTTCCATAGTGATACCACCTTGAAAACCCAAGGAAGGGTCGCTGTGAGTCAGATCCAACTTGAGGGTAGCACGTTGCATTTGCATTAGTGAGGTGAGGTGCCTGGGGCAGGATGGGATGTGGCAGAGCTGGACCTAAACAGGTAGCTGGGGCCAGATAGATGGCCAAGGGCCCTGGGCTTCTGCAGGAAGGGCCTCCTGAACACAGTTACAACTTTAAAAGTTTCGATCTGGGAACTACATTAAAAAAAAAAAAAAAAAAAAAAAATTGGAGGAGAGACCCTGGAGTGGGAGAATGATCAGATTGAGGCAACCAGACCCAGGGTCAAAGAGAGAGGGCATGGGTAGGACTTGGTGGTTATTTGGATGTGCATGTAGGAGAGGAAAGAGGGGTAGTCAGGTGATTCAGAGAAAGTAATGGGCCTCTGGGCTGGTTCCAGAGAGCAGTGAGGTGCCAGCTCTGAAGTTTGGAAGGAAGGCATGGAGATAGGTGGTCTCAATCCTGAGATGGACGGTGGTTGGGCAGGGGGCTGATGGGCTGAGGGGTGGGGTTGGGGTGGAGAGGAGGAAATAGAGAAAGAAAAAAGGTTCCCAGGACCCAGCCTGGGAAATATTAACAAGAGCAAACACTTGGAGGAGTTTGAATCTTTAGCCCCAGGCAGATTCACCTCAGTGGGATCTTGGTGACCATCAGCCCTAAACTGAAGACCTTTCCTGAGACAGGTTTTGGCTTGGTAATAGGAAGGAATATTTCCCTCACTAAAGCTATCATGCTGTGGGATGAATTGTCCCTGCGGGAGCAGTGAGTCCAGGTCAGGTCACTGAAGTAGGACTAGTGTTTTCTGGAATAAGGCAGTATGAGGCCTGGTTCCTGCCTGTCCTTGGTTGAAACCCCAGTTCTACTACTTCCTCACTCTGTGAACCCTGAGTAAGTGACTTAAATGTTTTGAGTCTCGGTTTCCTGGTGTGTAGTATAGGAACAATGGAAGGATCTGAATTACTGTATTAGTATTAGATGGTACCTGCAACCATACCCACAGCAAATGGCCAGTGAGACTTACTAAGGGTCAGGTACTAGGCTAAGATATATCCCACTGATATATTTGTGGAATGGTCCTAACACTATAAAATTAATTCTAAGGTACAAATAACAGATAAGGAACTTGAGGCTTGGAGAGGTTACCGCCATCATTCTTGCAGGTGGGATTCTGGGCAAGAACTTGTCTTCTGTCGGGGTCCGCCCCACTCGCTCCCACCTTCTGGCCTACAATTCTTCCTCTCCCTGCAGGTACGTGTCGGCCCTGACTACGCCCGCGCGCCTCTCTCCCGTGGACTTCCATTACTCGCTGGCCACGCAGGTGCCAACTTTCGAGATCACGTCCCCCAACTCGGCGCACGCTGTGTCGCTGCCTCCGGCCGCGCCCATCAGTTACCGCCTGGCGGAACAGCAGCCGCTGCTGCGGCACCCGGCGCCCCCAGGCCCCGGGCCCAGCGCAGACATGCAGCGTAGCTACGACAGCTATTACTACCCGGCGGTGCCGGGCCCGCGACGCGGAGCCTGCGCTCTCGGCGGCAGCCTGGGAAGCCTGCCTGCCAGCCCGTTCCGAATCCCGGAGGACGACGAGTACGAGACCACGCAGGAGTGCGCACCACCACCGCCACCACCGCGCGCGCATGGTGCGTCCCGCAGGACGTCCGCGGGGCCCCGGCGCTGGCGCCGCTCGCGCCTCAACGGGTTGGCGGCGCAGCGCGCACGCGCGGCGCGGGACTCGCTGTCGTTGAGCAGCGGCTCCGGCGGCGGCTCGGCCTCAGCCTCAGATGACGAAGCGGACGATGCAGACGGGGCACTGGCAGCAGAGAGCACGCCTTTCCTCGGCCTGCGCACGGCGCATGACACGCTGCGCTCGGACTCGCCGCCCCTGTGCCCTGCATCCGACAGCAGGACTTACTACTCCCTGGACAGCCACAGCACGCGGGCCAGCAGCAGACACAGCCGCGGGCCTCCCCCGCGAGGCAAGCAGGATTCGGCGCCCCTCTAGGGGGCCCCGCACGCCCGCCGCCCCTTCCGCCTCGCCTGCCCCACTGTCTTTAAGGAGAACAGAGACCACAGATTGGAGAGAGAAAGGAGGGAAAAAAAGAAATAAAAATATTTTTATTTTCTATAAAAGGAAAAAGTATAACAAAATGTTTTATTTTCATTTTAGCAAAAATTGTCTTATAATACTAGCTAACGGCAAAGACGTTTTTATAGGGAAACTATTTATATGTAACATCCTGATTTACAGCTTCGGGAAAAAAAAAGAAACAACAAAAAAAAAAGAGAGATGGGCCAATTTTTTGACTCTTTAATAGAAACCTATATTGTGGTGCCTTTTGCTGTACGCTAATCTGGAGCTCCTGGAGAGAAGAGTGGAGGTGGGGCTGTGGGATCCCGCTGTGTAGGGATGGGGGGCAGCTGTGGGGTTCTGGTGGGGGTGAGGTTGGTGGGCTGTAAGCGCTTGACCCTGGGGAAGGAAATGAAAACTGAAGTAGGTTTTCCTTCAGACAAAATCTTGAGTCCAGACCCCCTAGAAGGAGAGGACAAAAACCCTAGCCTAGACTTTGGGCCAGAGTTAGGATTGTGTAACTCACGGGGGTGGGGGTGGGGCGGGGACAAAGGCCCAGCGACAGCAACCAGAATGAGGAGGGGGCCTCCCTGATCCTCACAGCTGCTAAGAGAGGAGGGCCTAGGAAGAAGTCTTCCCCACAGCCCTGGCCCCAGGGAGGGGGCGCCTCTGTCAGGGGCCCAGTGTATGCGGCTCCTCCTCCCCATGGCCTCCAGGACGCGCCTCCGTCTCTGCAGCACCTTCGTTTACAGGTCGTCTTTTCTATTTTACGCCTGCATGTCCTTTGCATTTCAAATTCTTTAGATTGGATGCATGGTCACGCTGGGACCGAGAAGAGCCACTCGACAGTGTATTTGAGTCCCCTTTAGCAATAAAGTAACTATTTCCTTCTCACAGCCCACCTCCCAGCTCCAACCCACCTATAACTTCCACTTCCCTTCTTCCCACGATCCCCTAACTCCCAAAACTGGGTCCACAGAATCTCTGCTAATTTGTCAAAAAGGTCATTGTTATTTAAAAATAAATAAACCCCAAACAGAAACAAATGGGAACCCTGCCCTGAAATGTCCAAACACCTGACTGTTGACACTTGAACATTTTTATATTATAAATAAAATCAGAAATAACTCATGTTTGATGGTGTGTGCCTCGCCCCCTAGATGAGGAGGGGAGACAGAGGGATGGGGGCCTAGGAAAGATGGATGGATGTTGGTGTGGAAGGTGGAGAGGGCCAGGGCAGACTCTGAGAGGAAGTGATTCTCCCTCCAATCTCCCTGGCCCCAGTTCCTAGGACAGGCTTCAACAAATACCCTCCCCCCTGTCCCCCTTTCCAAGATGGAAGAACATTTACTAGACGTTCCCCCTGGCTGCTAGGGAACCTGGCCAAGGGACTGACGCAAATTACTGTGCTTCGAAGTCAGCCTCAGAACCCTGTCCCAGTTCCTGTCCCGGACTGGCAGGGGCCGGGACTGAGGCAACATTTCCGGCCCCAGGTGGACAAGGAGGGGAGGGTTGTGGGGTTGGCACTGGGGCAGCTGAGGCAAGATGACCTTTGGGGCCTCCGGCATGTCACCAGCAAAGTCTAAACATGCCAGGTGGTATAATGGGTACCCTCCGCTGCCAGAAGGACCACAGCTGCTGCAGCTGGTAAGCCCACAGGGTGTTGCTCTTTCCCCAACTTTATACCCCCCTCAGAGCCACGGCCTGTCTAAACCCGCTGGCCCTGAAGAGTATGTGATTTCAGGCACAGAAAAGGCAGATGGAGGTCTAGGGTTAAGAAGCCTTTCCCATCAGTGACTTAATTGTTTAAACCAGTGCCCAGCATCAGGAACAATGAGGCTCTAGTCAGATAGGGAGTGTATGTTCTATCCAAAGAGCTCAGGCAGTTGACGTGTGTGTTTGTGTAAATGCTCCCAGGATGTGTGCTCAGTTTGGAGACTTTACCGACGGGAGGGAAGGGAAGCTTAGGGTTGTGGTGTATAGGCATCAACAGGACCCCAGGTTCAAATCCAGCTCTGCCCCTCACTAGCTATGTGATATCTCCATGCTGCAGTTTGCTTGGCTGTGAAAAGATCATGGATTACCTACCTCAAAGGGTTGCTGTGGAGATAATGTACATAAAGCACACAGAACTGCTTTTGGCATGTGATAGAGGCCTATTAAAGGACTAATTTGATGATGACACCATGTGCCTTGCATTTTTTAATCACATGGATAATGGCAAAAACAATGAGAGCAGGGTGATAGAGAAGAGTAAAGAAAGAACTGAAATTGTAGTTATTATTGGGGGCTGAGAGAAAGTACCTGTTAAAAACAAAGGATCAATATCATGAAACAAAATGTGTGTGAATTGTTGAATAGAAAATCAGTTTGCTCTGTAACCTTTCACCCAAATCACAATAAAAAGTAAAAAAAAAAAAAGAAACAAGGAAAATAATGAACTTAATGCTACATAAACTCAGACCCCTCAGCTGATTCTAAGTTTGCTTTAAAATTTTCCAGAGCCAATAATTCCTCTTTATGACCTCTGACCTCTATGTGCTCCCAAATTAACTCTGAATGACCTCAGTGTATTCATCAACCTTTTTGCAACCCAGCTTAGTGTCCTCATTTGACCCTTCTGAAGGTACTTGGGGTACCATTGCCTTCAGAATCTTATCAGAAACCATCTCCTCCACACAAATGAACCCACCAATCTCTATGTGACCCCAGATGATTCTGAATAACCTCTTTGTGAACTCACTGACCTTTTCATAACCCCATTTAGTACCTTCATTATCTACTCTGGATCCTCAGATAACTGCTGAGTCTAAGGCCAAAACTTAAAAGTTGTTCCTTGGCTTTTTCCTCATCAAATCATCTACTCATTCATTTCACAGGTATGAGGATGGGACTTGGGAGCAGGTATGGCTAGCGAGGCCTCTTTGCCACTCACCCTCTGAGATGTCAGACTAGGGAACCTGTAGTATGCCTTTCAGGAAGAGTTCTAGCCCTGTTAGATGCTCTGGTGGCACAAGGTTAAAGTATTTGACAACTAATCAAAAGGTTGGTGGTTCTAACCTACCAGCTGGTCCATGGGACAAAGGTGACAGAGTCTGCTTCTGCAAAGATTTACAACCTTGGAAACCCTATGGGGCAGTTCTACTCTGCCCCAGGGTCACTGAATCTGAATCAACTCAATGGCAGTGGGTTTGGGTTTTGGTAGCCCTGTTAAACTACTTCTCTTCTACCACTCTGACGCCAGAAGCAGCTTCCGGAGCCGAAGTCATCTTCTCTCACCCAATTTCTTTGTCTTCTCTCTACCAGGTCATTTATGGCTTCTCCTTCCCCAGCCCCCCTATAGGTCCAAATGGTAGTGGTGATGACCTCCCCACTAGACTGTAAGCCCACGTGGACAGGGACCTAGTCAATCTTTTTGTCACCACAGTATCCCCAGCACCCACACGATTGACCTTCATCGAGAGGAAGAAAACTCAAGAGACACTGTCCTCAGGGATCAGTCCCCTAGAAGTCTCTGAACCCGCTGGCATCTCCACCACCAGGTGGCGCAAATCAGGTATTACATGTCATCTGTCGTCCTCAGAGGCCCTTGGCATTAGAATGGGCATGTTAGGGGCAGAGGTTGTGAAGGGAACACTATGACCCATTTGAATGCAGAAGAAAATAGTAGAACTTTGATTTAGATTTATTTTCATCTCATCCTTCTTAAATTTCTATTTTTGTGTATTTTTATAATGTACATAATATTTTAGTACAGTAGTACATGTATATAATTTACAAATAAATAAGTATACACATTATGAATATGAGCTAAAATTTTTCTTCACTGATGGGAGGCACAGCTAGTGCTCGGGGAAGCACGCCTGTCTGCAGCTGCTGGCGCTCGCTCCTTGGCTGTCACCTACCACCCTCATGAAATGGAGCATGACCCCAAAATGTGAAGGACCTTTGAGACAGCATGGAGGAAGTACCTGGAACTTCTTTATGTTGACACATTTGCTTTATCAATTCCATTTAAATGAACATTTACTTCCCCTGAGCAAAACGAAGGGGCCAAATGGTTTGAGTATAAAACACACTTCAGTTGATCCAAATGCAGTCATCTGGACTTAAATCACTACCTCTCTCCATGGATTCACACATTCTGGCATCAAGTCCGAGTGGGTTGGTAAATGTTGGACACATAGTTGCAAGGCTGGCTTATTGTATAAACAGAATAAATTTGACCACAGAGATCAAACTGCCAGACCTACTACAATAATCTATTTAAAAAATAGAAAGGATTTGCACATCATAGTTGTATTGAAGCTGCCATCAACCCCACCCACTTGTCATACGAATACTGGGTTTAAAGGATGTTAATCTAGTGATCGTCACATGGCGAATTTCTCTATTCTCCCCAAATATGTCCTTATCTAGACCTTTCTGATTCACAAGAAGAGTGAAAGAATTATCAACCTAAAAACAGTGAGCAAATTGTCTTTCCACCTTTTCTCAAGACCAAGAACTCATGGCTTCCATAACCTTCCCCCTCCAGGCATCTTTGGGTTTGCTGACAAGTGGCTATTTCAAGGCAGAGTGTCTTTTATTCCTGTAGCAGTGGGTCTGTACAAGATGCCACCTCTGGAGTTCAGAGACCTGACAGCACCAACATAAAGACCAAAATATAAATGGGGCCATGGTCCCATCCCATTCACTCCCTGGGGCCCCCGTGGGACAGATAGGGTGGCACATATACTCTACTTATTCCAAAAGCATCGACTGGAAGAGCAGTGTAAGTCACAGGTCAGCCAGAGGAGGGAAAAACAGGTTGTGAGGAGGTGCCAACATTTCTACCTTCCCTTCCAGAGTGTCAGGGCCATCGGGGGCCAGGTGCCAGCCTACTTGCTAACAGGTGGAGCTTGGAAATCAGCTTTTCCTTCATCTTATTTCATCCTCTTTAACTGATATCAATTCTAAAACCAAGATGGTTTTAGATTAAAGGAGTTCCTTATATATATAATTCTTATATATGTACATTCATGTCTGTATAAAAAGAAAGCAATGGTGGCGTCAATGGATGGAAGGAGAAGTGTACACACACATGGGTTGCAACAGCTTGGTACTGAGGGAGGGCTGGCCCAGTTACTGGATTGTTGTGAAGTGAGTCAGGAGGACTGAGCATGGTTCTAGAAGTTGGGAGGAGGAGGAGGAGATGATGGTGCTGGTGGTCTGCAGACCTGCTGCTGAGCATCTCAGAGGAAGGAGGCAGAGAAAGGGTGGGTTCCAACCCAGGTCCTGGAGCCAAGAGCTGCCCTCAGAAATGAAGATAGAAGATCTTGATGAGAAGAGGCGGGCCTGGGAGACAAGGGCCCTTCCAGCTTTTCCAATGAGATGGTGTCTAGAGCATGCATACAACCAGGCTACAAAACAAGGCTCCATGCTGAAGAGGGAAGCAAGGGCTGAGAAGAGTCTGAGAGCCAGAGATGCTCCAGTATGAGAGAGCATGGCCATGAACGGCATCTCCAGCCTCTTGGCCCATGGGGCTCTCCACATCCCTCTGGCTGCCTGGAGCTTGGTCTGAGTGGCTTCTGGCTGGAATTGTGCTCACTGACCCTGTAGAGGCATTTGTCTGCCTCCAGGGCCTGCTCATCCACGCCAGCTAAGTGTCTGGCCCAGTGGTATCCTTCATGGCTTTGCTGCCAGTCACAGGTCCATGGCCCTGGCTGAGGGCAGGACTAGAGTGTGTCTTCCGGAGAGAAGGATCATCCCCTTCCAGGGTGGCCAGGCGGGCCTCAATCCGCTCCAAGTCATCTGAGCCCACTTTGATTTTCACAGCCAGGAGGTGGATATAGGTCTCATAACGGCTTTTCTGAAGAGGGAACAGAGAAAGACCAAAAAGTCAAAAGACAACAAAAATGGAAAAAAAATATTTGCCCTTTATATGGAAAAAAAAAAAAGACTGATTTCCTTAATATGGAGAGATTTCTCCCAAATTAATAAGAAGGAGATAAATGAAAATTAAGCAAAGGACATTCACAGGAATTTCACTCATAATATAAAATATTCAAATTAAAATAGTAATGAGGCACCATTTTTAAACCTATCAGGTTAAACCAAAACCAAACCAAACCTGTTGCTGTCGAGTCTATCCCAACTCATAGCAAACTTCCTATAGGATAGAGTAGAACTGCCCCATAGGGTTTCCAAGGCTGTAATATTTATGGAAGCACACTGCCACATCTTTCTCCTGCGGAGTCCAAACTACCAACCTTTCGGTTAGCAGCCGGGGCTCCTTAGTGAAGATTAAGACATTTGACAATGCCAGTGCGTTGACGAGAGCATGGGGAAACAGTTACATTCATAAACTATTCAGAGGGTTGAAAATCAGTGCAAACATCTTGGAGGGAGATTTGGCAGCATCTGAGGTGCTGGACTCCGAGCTTCCGGCCCTCACCACAGTCCAGGGAGGCTGGAGTCCTAGAAGAACCAGGGGCTACGGGTCCAAAGAGCCTGTTCCCACCGAGTCTGCTGTCTGAGCAACACTTCACCTCCGGGCCTCAGTCCCTACTCTTCATCAAGCCAGGCAGGGAGGTAGAAGTGAGAAAGGCCAGGGAGCTGGAGCTGTAATCAACTGCCTGGGTTAGGATCATGGCTCCTGCACTTCTTAACTGTGTCACCTCAGGCAACTGATTGACCTCTCTGAGCCCCAGTTTCTCCATCTGTAAAATGGGGATAGTAACAGAACCCATTTCACAGGGTTGATATGAGGACTCAATCAGTCGCTACAAGGGACATGAAGAGAACCACACCCTCACACTTAGCGAGACATCAGTCCACCATAGCTTCTGTCATACTAATTTTGACAACTGCAAGGAGAGTGGATCTAAGAGTTGGAAGCTATGAAGCCTCATGTTTCTCAAAAGGTCAGGACCTATCCTGTGAATTTCTTCTTTCCCCTCTGCCATCAATAGAAAATCATTGTGGGAATCTAGAGACAAGAGATTAATAACCTCCTATCTTTCCTGCTCTAGGGGTTTACTGGCTCAGCCACTCCCATCTGCAGGTCAGTCCAAAGGAACTAGAGAAGGCAAAAACCCAGGGCCCAGAAAGGCTCACGGCGCAGGTTACCACTGTCAATCTCAAGCTGGACTAAGCAGGACCAAGGGGCAGCTCTGCCCTTCATCTGAAGGTCTGGCCCCTCTTCCTCCCTAAAAGGCTTACTTGCTTGCTGCAGTTCCCTGCTCCAGGTTCACAGCACCTCCTCCATCTCCATGGAAGGTCTAGAGCTCTGACCCTGAGGGTCTCACACTCAGCCTTGACTTGGTCCTTCTCACCTACTTGGATCTGGCCAGAGGAATCGTATCGGCCACTATGAGGCCAGTTCTGCCATCTGGAGAGCCTATTCTTCCAGGTCAGCAAGTAGCTGGGCCTCATGGCACAGCAGAGGTGATAGGCCCAGAGCCTGACAGATTCAAGCCACTGCTGGCTGAAGCCTCCTGATCTCTCACTTCCCCAGGTACTCTCTTAAGATCCATTTGGATCTTTCCAAACAATGTTAGTGACAAAAAGTGGAAGTAAAACTCCCTGCCATATGGCTTCTCATGGCTCCAAGTTTCCTCTGGAAAATAAAAACAAAAATTGCACACTGTCTTCTCAGACAACTCCACTGGAGTCTAAAGGGCAGGGGGAAGGGAAACAGCAGCAGACCAGAGGAGTTCCAGGTGTGACTTATTAATCAGTGAATAAATGGTTCCTGCCTTCCTCCCCCAACCCGGCTCCCCGTCCTTCACCCAGTGAGGATGATTCTTTGTCAGCCTCACTTGCAGGTCTTCATGGGACAGAGTCAGGGTAGTGGGCAGAGAGAGATGAGATGGAAAGACCAGAGAGCTTAGAGAGAGAGATTACATCGCTCAGCATGATAAACCTGTGAAAGAGGAAAATGAGACAAAAGAGGGGAGAGCCCTAGGGATAGGCCTTGAGAGTGTTGTGACAGCAGACTGATTACATTTGGCACTGGACTGTGGTTCTGTACAGAGACCAGCTTAGTTCATAATAAGATACATATCCCTCAGAGGAGCCCCCAATGTGGGAGACCCCCAAATGGACCCCCTGGCTGTGAAATGTTTAACTTGATGTTGGTCGTGGGAGATGGAGGGCAGCAGCTGGCCACTTCCTCTTGCCCCCCACTCTGTCTTTTGCAAGCCCATCCCACCCTAGGGCCCACCTCAAACATGAGATAGTGCTCCTTCAGCCGGTACTCCTCCGCCTCCTTGGACTTGATGCCCCGCTCAACTGGGTGACACCTGTGCTCAGCCAGCTCAGCAGCCACCTGCCTCAACTTTTTCTCATGTGAACGCAGCTGCTCTTCCTGCAAAGAGAAGCCCTGGACTGTGAGGTGACTCTCAGGATGTCATAGGGGTGGGTCTCACCCTGTCCTTCCAGGAAGATGGAGTCACTAAACCAGCTTCACCAAAGGGAAACTGAAACCTGGCCTGGATCACCAAATAAGTGTGGGTAGAGCCAGGCTCTGGACTTGAGGGAATGCTCTTCCTTTCTGATTTTTTCCTCCCCACCTCTCATCACCATCAGCTCTCCCAAGTGCTCCCCAACAGGCTCAGGAGAGGACTGGCCTTCACATTTGTATGTGCATATGTATACTCCCTGACATCATACACTGCGACGGACACACAGTCACCCAGACCCACAAACCAACAAACAAACTCACTGCCATTGGGTCAATTCGATTCATAGTGACCCCTCCTTGGGCTTCCGAGGCAGTATCACTATGGAAGTAGATTGCCCAACCTTCCTTCCAAAGAGTGGCTGGTGGGTTTGACCCGCCAGCCTTCTGGTTAGCAGTTAGATGACTTAGGCACTATGACACCAAAACTCCGGACCCAGACCCAACACCTTGCTTATATGAACTCTCATCTGCGCACACATACACTGGACCAAGGGTCAGTCTAGCTTCAGCCCAAATGACATACACATTCTCTCACATCCAGGCCCAGACAGACACAATGCCCACAGACCCCCAATCACATCCTCAAGAATATACCGCACTGGCAGACAAGCACACACACCATCCTCCACAGCACAGCCAGGCCTCTGTGCAGTATATGGGCCTCAGTCTTCCCATCTAAAAATGGGAAGGGAGGTGAAGGAGAATGTCTACCCATTCCCCTGTGTCCCTTACCCCATCACCAGGCATCCCATTAAAGGAAGTGTGTGGGGGGGTATTGAATAGGGGTCTGGGACAGGGGATGCAGTCTGGGAAGGTAGGGTCATGATTTTAGGAACTTGAACCTGGCAGAGACGAGTGGTGCAGGAGGGCAGCAGGGGCCGACAGAATTTCTTCATGGAGCTGACAGAAGCTGGGAAGGCAGGGGCCGAGAAGATGGCAGCCACTAGGTTGATCCTAAGAATCCAGGACAGCATTTCTTCCTTGCTCCTGGAGACAGGAGTAGAGGGGAAAGCACAGCAGTTTTCACAATAGGGTCCCCAATCCCCCACCCAGCATCCACTATCAGCATTAATTCTCACACAGAGAGGCACTAATAATACCTTTTTATAGGTAGATGAAGGAACTGAGGGAGGATGAGTGAGTGGGTGGGTGAATGGGCCTGCTTAGAACTCTATAGGAGCTCCCAATCTATCCCAGCTCCCGATCAGGACCTGGATTTTCATGTGAAAATAAAACTGCGCATGTTCAGAGCTAATGGCCTTGGGTCTAACAGCCTGGGAACTAACAGCTCTGGCTAATGGGTCCTTGAGCTAATGTGCTCTGGGGCTAATGAGTCCAGGAGCTAACAGGTCCTGGAGTTAATGGCCCTGAATCTAACAGCCCTGACGATAATCAGTCCTGGAGCTAATGGCCCTGGAGCTAATGAAGGCTGGGATTAACAGCCCTGGAACTAGCAGGACCTGGAGCTAAGGGGTCCTGGAGCTAATGGGTTCTTAAAGCTAAAAGCCTTGGAGCTTACTGAAACCTGGAACTAATGGTCCTGGAGTTAATGGATCCTGGAGCTAACAGCCCTGGAGTTAGCAGTTCTGGAGCTAACGGGCTCCAGAGCCAAGAGGCCCTAGAGCCAGTGGTGATCATTAGAGGCAGCTGGGCAATTGGTCATCCCCTCCACAGCCCACCTGGAGTTTCTCTCCTGTTCCTGACTTCACTGCCACCTCCACTACTATGCCCAGCACTTATACTCTGATTCTGATACCTCACCATCTAGCCTCCCTCCTTTTAAGTACATCTGAGACATGAAACCTCATCTTAAGTCACAGAGGGACAGAGCTCAAAGGAGTGGAAGGAATGCTTTACAGGTAAACTGTAGGTTGAGTCTTTCCTGATTTAAAGTGAAGAATGATTCATAAAGAGTCTATCTGCCTTGTCCTTTAGAAATTAGGAATCACCTGAAGGGCCTATTAAAACACAATTGCTGGGGCCCATCCCCACAGTCTCTGAATCTGTAGATCTAAGGTGGGCCAGGGAAACTGCACATCTAACAAGTTCCAAGTAATGCTCAGGGGACCGCACTTTGAGAACCATTGCTTTAAGGGACCCCAGTTGTTGGTTTGTGTCATGTGGATATATTTGCACTTGTGACTGATGAGCAGGAGAAGCTAAGGGTGTCCACCCTGAGACCGATGAGGAAGGAACGCAGGCCCTGAGCAGAGGATGGGAACAAGAGGCTTCTAGCCCCTACTTACGGTGCCTGGAAGAGGAAGACCCTCCAGTCAGCTGTCTTCAGCTTGAGCACATTGGACTTCTTGCTGTAGTCAGAGGCCTTGGTGGCCAGAGCATGATGCACACGGATGGCATTCTTCAAATCACCCTCTGACAGGGCCTTGTCAGGCCTGTACTCATCCTAGATGGGGAAGTGGGGCATGGGCCAGCTTCTGTCATCATTAACCACATTTCTTTCACTCTCACCGTCCCTTCTTCCCTCTCCTTCTCCCCATCCCTATATCTCCCTCCATTTTGCAGTTCCTCCTACTATGAAGCCACTCTAATCCCAAAACAAATCATTTCAGGAACTCCCCTTACCCCCATTTGCCCCAGAAGCCTGAACAGGCCTTATACTGGGAATCCACTGAGCCACTGGGCATTTCAAAGACCCTTCCCTGAAACCACCAAAGCCCTGAGTGAGCCTGCGGGAGGCTTCTGATGGAGGAAGGACCTAGCATCTGCCCAAGTCCCAGGTCCTTCAGCACCCTGAGTACCACAGGTTGGGGCTGGATGGGGGCTCAAGCTGCCCAACCTGGGCAGGGACTCTGGGGCAGCCTCTCACCTTCTGTAGGTACAGGATGGTCCCTTTGAGCACTGCGTAGAATTTCTTCCAGCCACGCCTCCCTCGAGGTGCTGGAGAGGAGAACACTTGTATGGCCTCGACCACTCACTCCGATATCCCCTACTATGCATCCTCCTATGTGTATATGCATCCCCTAGAGGCATGGCCAAGGGGGCAAACCCCATCTGGACTGGCATTCCTCCCCATGTCCCTCCCCCTCTTCCAGCCAGGCCTGACACCTACTCCTCTTGCCATCCATGTCAGCATGCGTCTTCCGGGTCAGCACACCGTGCTTGTAGGTGGTGGCACTGAGAGCCTGCGGGATATCCACAAAGGGGTTGCCACCATCCAGGATCCTTGTCACCTTCTTTGTGCCTGTCCCAAACTTGTCATCCACCAGCTCTGACAGTGATTTCCTCAGCTCGTCCTCATCACTAGGGAAGTACTAGGCCTGAGTACCACCTCCAAGGAGGCCTCAGCCCCACATCGACATGCCATCTCCCCACCAACCACACCTCTGGGAGCCAGGGTCAGAGGTGAAGGGCAGCCATGAGAGAGAGGCAGAGATGGGGAGGTTTTAATTCCAGAACACAGGTCTGGACCTTTGCCATCCCCTCTTAGTCTTCATTTCTGACCCCTGATCTCTGATTTTTAGTCTTTGGCCTCCCCACTCCTATCTTCAACCTTGATCACAAAGTTGGAGACATTATTTTGAGTCTCCTTCCCACTCTTCCTTCTCTTCTCTCCATTCCTGCCCTAAGAGCTCCAGTTCCAGGAAGCAGTAATTCATGGCCAGACTGAAGCTGCTGCCAAAAGCCTATAGATATGTGGGGAAAGATGAGGCCCTTAAAGTCTGGATTCCCCATAGGAGCCCTGGTGAAAGAGTGCCAGCTCTTCCCAGTGGGGTTAGGGTTCCAACAATCCCTGCTTGGGACCTCTATATGGATTGAAGGCCCCAGGATGCCCTGGAGAGCACAGCAGAGAGGAACAGTCACTTTCCCAGGAGCCTCTCACAGTGTGCCCAACCAGCAGGTGACCACACTTCTTTCCACATGGTTGTTGTGGTGGTTATGTTTGTGTGTCAACTTGGCTGGGCCTGATTGAGTGGGTGGGCAGCTGGTGGTGGTTATTTCCCATGATGAGACTGGCAATCAACTCCATGGTGAGATCGACCACAAGCAGCTGAGTAGCTGCCTTTAGGATGTGGTCTACTTCCTGTATTTAAGGACAAGCCTTGGGAATGGTCTCTATTCTATGGCACGCTTGGACCCTACATGTAGCTGTGTCATTGCTCAGCAGCTTGCTATGCTCTGCCAACCTTGGGACTTACAATGGACTTAAGTTAATGGCCTGCCATGTGGTTTGGTAATATCAGGACTGTGCCTTTTTTACTTGCCAACCTTGGGGCTTCTCAGCCTCAGCAGCCAGCAGCTGTCTGAGTGAAGAAATGCCTCTAGCTCCAGTGGGCTGGGAGCAGGAGGAAGAGCTGGACCTCAAGGTTGAGGGGCTTTCACCCAGCCCCCAAAGCCTGGCACTTTGAACTTGGACTTAAAGCCTCCAAATTTTAAGAATAAACTTAAGTCCATCCCATTTGTGGTATATTTCTTGCCAAAGCAGCGCTAGGTAACCAGACCATTTGGAAACCTCCAGGTCACTACCCTAAGCATGGTCATATCCTAAAGGTTATTGGAGGTCCATGCCTCCTGCTTACTAACCTCCCAGAGGAGAAAGAGTTGTTAAGAATTGTGATGAAATCACAATTCCAGTACTGGAAGTCAGCTGTGGACATCATGGAGTTAAAGTCACAGTTCAGTTTATCCCACTGCAGTGTAGACACTGCACACTTTTTATCAAGACAGAAAATAAGCCCAAAGGAAAATTCAACACCAGGTACCAACCAGCTGGATGGGGTCACTAGGGCCCTGAGCTGGGAGGAATCAGCACCATGGAGAGTGGCAGGAATAGTTATCCTGATACACCACCACCCCCAGCTAACGTCCCCTCCCAATGATTCAGTCTCCCCACACCTATGCCCATGTGCACTACTCACATGGCCCATTCCAACTTTTCATTCTTGATGGAGTTGTAAAGAGTCTGTGAGTGGGAAAAAGACAGAGAGAGGAGTTCAGGTGAAGACTCACAGAAATCCCTATCTACCCCAGTAATGTGGGTACAATGAGGCAGCACCTTCTCAGACAGTGGGAGGGACAAAGTGGGTGCTTGATTCACACTTGTTTGTTGAATGGATAAATGAGTGGGCGAGTGCATTAAGGTATTTAATTATGAGATCATTTAATATGTCTCCCCTAGGGAATTATAAGTTTCACAAGATCAAGAGTGGTCTGTCTTGTTTATCACTGAGTCTTCAGGGCATAACCCAGTGCTCAGCATACAGTACATGCTCAGCAGGGTGGATGGATGGATGGATGGATGGATGGATGGGATAATGAGAGGATAGGTGAGTGGATGGATGAACAGAGGGTATGAATAGTTGGGGTGAGTGGTTAAGTGGAGAGACAGGTAGGTGGAAAGAAGTAATGAGGAATGGGTGAGTGTATAGAGGGTATATGAGGAGGAGTTTTGGGTATATGGATAGGTGGATGATTGAGTGAATAGATGGGGTGGATGGGTTAGTGGATAGGTGGATGGGTGGGTGGGTAGATGAATGTATGTGTGAGTATGGGTGGATGTATGTGAGAGTATTTGGGGATGTATGGAGATGTGTGTGTGAGTGATGGGAATGAATGAAAGTATAGGATATGTATGGATAAGTGAGTGACTGAGTGGATGTGTGGGTGGATGGATGCATATATACATGGTAAGATGAATGGGGGAATGGAGGATGAGTGGATGGATGTGTGGGTGGAAAAGTAACTAGATGGATGAATGAGTAGATGATGGAGAGAGGTGAATAAGTGGGTGGTGAGACTGGGATTGTTTGATTTCACTTAAAAATATATTATTAACAAATGCTTCTTGATGATGAAGGTGACAATTATAAAATGAATGATGGAGATAATGTTCTCTTTTTTGACCTCCAGATTCATTAACTGACTGCCCACCTGGTATCATCATACCTTCAAACTCACTATCTAAAATTAAATTCATTATCTATCTCCCACAAACCTGCTCCTCTTCCTCCAAGGCAGAGAACTGACAAGGCTTTAGAGGCCAGAGTTCCATCCTGGACTTCTGTCTCAAAACAAAAAAAAAAAAACTGGATTCCTTTAATTCCTGATGATGCTGGAGGATGAGTGGCCTTTTCCCTACAGTGATGTTGAGGATGATTATGGTGAAGGTGGTGATAGTGATTGATGGTAAAGATGGTAGGAATACTGATGGTAGTGTTGGGCATGATGGTGGTGGTAGTTGTGACAAATGGTGACAGTGTTAATGAGTACCATGACAGCAATGATGGTAATGAAGCACTAAAAGCAACTCTCGAAAACCCTACCCCTGCCTACCTCAGGGAACATTTAATAGTCAAATGCTGAGCTGCGTAGTCTCTCTTTTACCATATCCAAAGTCATGGTGGACCTCACCCAGTTTTAAGAGCCTGGAATGTCAGGATTTAGTGAAGCAGAGACTATCCCCTGTCCACCCACTTAGGGCACAAATAATACTTCCTAACAAATAAATACCTTCAACAGGTCTTTGGCAAAGTCTTGGCCATCATTCAGACGGTCCAAGTTGGCAATAAATTGCTGACAGGACATCTTCTTGCCAATATTCTGCAATGGAAAAAGAGTTCTTCCTGAGAATAGGGATGGAGACTAGGGTGGCCCACATGCCCTGCCCTGCCTAGAGCAGAGGGGATGGGGCAGCAACAAAGGCAGTGATGAAAAATAAAACTACTGGATTTCCCTCTGTCTTCAAGAGTTCAGAAAACATTTTCACGTTGAAGATTCTGTTTTACCCTCAACATTATGATAGGCTGAGATTCCCCTCAAATCCAGAAGAAAGAGTTGGGCTTGAATGAAGTATTGTAATAGTTGATATTTGCTGGGTGCCCACTATGTTTTAGGTATTGTCCTTGACATGCATTATCTTATTTCCTCTTCACAGGTGAAGTGGTGTTATTATCTCCATTTGACATGTAAGGAAACTGAGGTGCAAGATGGTGAAGTAATATGCCCATGATCACACAGGAAGGAAGTAGAAGGGCTATGTTTGTTTGACACTAAAGTCTGTACTCTCACCTGACACTCCATGGTTAACTCTCCCAAGGTCACACAGCACCAGGACTTGAGCCCAGGCCTCTTGACTCCTGAACAGAAGTTCTGTGTATTCCACCACAACTGTCTCAGTCTCTTACCTACACAGAGAGGCAGCAAGATCTCCAAGAGGTAGGTGAAGTGAGGGAGACTTTGGTCTTATGAGAATCAAAAATCAATTTCCACCAACACACATAGGTACTCCATGTTGAGCTGGACTGAGACTAAGAGAATCCAAGCAGATGATTTCACTCCAGGAAGTACAAACACACAAAGAGCTGGAAATAACTGCACTCTCAAGTTCTGGCTTCCTATTTTTTAACCACTGAGTAGTAGAAAGGCTCTAGACCTCTAAACCCATGACCTACGCACATTTGATGAAATACTAAATGCATTTCATCTCTGTGAGGATGAAGACCCTTAAACACCAGATATTATTGCTGCAGGATGTTCTGGATTTGGGTTTGCTATACAGCAGTAGTTCCCACCATGTACCTACAGTTACATGGAAATAGGTATCCCTCCCAAAAAAAAAAAAAAAAAAAAAGGGGGCTCCATAATCAAATAAGTTTACTCACACTTTTCAGAGTCTGTAACATGCTTAAGTGTGTTGAAAGTCTCTAAGGAAAAGATTCAGCACACAGTTTTCCAAGTGTATTGACCTTGGCACCATCTCAGCAAAGAGAATCTATTAGCATCATGTAGGACCTACACATACCATGGAACATAATTCAGGAAACAATGATATAAGGTTTTGTAAGCAGCTGACAAGCAAGAATTTTCTACCCCTCTTCCAATGGGTTAAGAAGAAAATAGCCTGTGTGTGCCTGATACAAGTGTGTGTCATATAGTTATATATATATTTTTTATATGTACATATATGTATGTATGTGTCTAAGTATATAGCTATGTATATGTGCATTTGTAACATGAGGGCAATGTTTATAATATTGGTTTTAACTTACACACACACACACCATGAACATTCTCCAGGCATCAGTCAGAAGTTCAAAATTTTAAAAAATAATCAGACAAGATTTCCAAACCTAGTAATGAGAGACTATCTTGCTGAAGGTTGACCTTCCCAATAAAAACAATAGTTGGATAAAATATTAATAAAACATCAGTATGAAGGCACTGGAGAGCTATCAAAGCAGTGAGGACTTCAAGTGGGAACATCCTGCAAAGAAGGGAAGAAGGGAGAGGTAGCCCAGTGAGGAGCAGTTTTCATCCTTGAAGCTTTGCCAGTTCACAAGCAGTGCCCAAAAGGCTGAGCAACTGAGTAGTCTTATAGGACTGGGAAAACAAAAGTTGGAGTCAGGCCCACCAAAGACAAGGGACCCTGAGAAACACTCCAGGCTTTTAATTAGGACATCAAAAGGGCTATGCCCCAAGAGTAAGAATGGATATAAAATAACCATCTTTATATAGAGACCAAAGTCCAGCTTTGAATCACTCAATCTATAATTGGAATAAGGTAATATTCTCCCACCTTAACTGTTAACAAGACACAAAAGTAAATCTTCTTTGGAAGAAGATAACATCAATCAGTATATCACATTATCTCTATAATTTTTCACAGTCAGCCATTCATTCAAAATTACTAGACATAGCAGGAACAATCAAGAGAAAAATCAAGCAATAGAAAGGGTCACAAGAGATCCAGATAATAGACTTATGCAAAGATAGTCTTTAAAATAACTGTGACCAAGAAATTGGATGACAAGATGGAGATTTTCAAAGAAAACTGAGAACTATTAAGAGAAAATCAAGTAGAAATTATAAAATGAAAATTATAATAACTGAAATTTAAAACTCAATAAATGTACTTAACAGCAGATTAGCAGACTGCTTGAAAGAAGATATCCAAGTTAAAAAAAAAAAAAAAAAAGTACAGAAAAACCCTAATAGATATAGGAGGCTTAGTAATAAGGTCTGTGACAAATGGAATTATAATCCCAGGTGGAGAGGAAGAATGAGGCAAAAACAATACATAAAGATACTGGACAATTTTCCAAAATTGATGAAAGACATCAAGTTACGGGTTCAAGAGGTACTGCAGGAAAAATTTTTAAAAAAAATTGTCTAAGTACATCATAATATAACTTCTTAATGGGAAAGCCAAAAAGAAAATAATGAAAACAAAAAGAAAGAGAGAAAAAGGCACACATTTCCTTCAAAGAAGCAACAATAAAACTGACTTCTGACTTCTCAGCAGAAACAGTGGAATACAAAAGATAATAAAATATCTTCAAAGCACTGGAAAAAATAATTTTCTACTAAAATTATATGGGAGCTCTGGTGGCATAGTGCTTAAGGCATTTGCTTGCTAACCAGAGGCTGGCAGTTCAAACCCACTAGCCATTCCTCAGAAGGAAGACTGGGCAATCTACTTCCATAGAGATACCACCCTGCAACCCCAAGGAGCGGTCACTGTGAGTCGAATCTTCTATACACAGAAAAAATAATTTCCAAAAATGAGAATGTAAAGCCCTAGAATAGGAAAAGAGATTTGCAGCACATATATCAAACAAAGCACTCCAATTCAGAACATATAAAGAACTTCTACAAATAAGTAAGAAAAAGGTAGACAATCTAGTAGAAAAATGCATAAAAGACTTGAACAGGCACTTCATAAAAGAGATCCTCCAAACAGTCAATAACAAATGATAAAGTGCTCAGTTTCATAAGTCCTCAGAGAAATGCAAATTAAAACAACAATGCAATGCTCTTACCTATCCACCCAAATGGCTAAAATGAAATAGTGAAATAACACCAAATGTTGGTGAGGATGTAAAGTAACCGAGACTTTCATTCACTGCTGGTGAAAGTGCAAATTACAACTTTGGAAAACTGTTGGCAGTAGCCACTAAAGTTGAACATAAACATACCTAATGACTTAGCAGTCTACTCCCAGATTTATACCAACAGAAATGTGTACATATACTCACCAAATAATATGTACAAGAATGTTCAGAGCAGCATTATCAATAATAGCCCCAAACTGGAAAAAAATCCCAATGTCTGTAAATAGTGAAAAATGTTGAAAAGCTAAATCAAGCCCATACTGAAGCCTGCTAATAAGTACCTGTGATTTTTAAAGCTAGTTGGCATTAAATTTTCTGTTACTTTCAACTAAGCCTCTCCTGACTGATCAGCCCCCTTCCTGTCCTCACTCTCAGCTCATGACTTGGCCTCATGTTTCACTGAGGAAATAGAAGCCATCAGGCAAGAGGCCACTCATCTTTCTACCACCAGAGCTACTAACCCACTCTCTGCCTTTCTTTGGCCTGTGCTCTGCATCTTGTCTCCAGAAGAGGCTCAATCGTCCCTTCTCTCTCCTGCATCATCAGTTTCCCCTTATCTGCTGGGTTGACCCTACTGACACACACCCATGCCCTGGTTAGATTTTAAAGCAGTCCCCCCTTGACCCCTCCAGCCATTGGCTCATTTCAGTGCTCCACTCAAAGCAACATATCTCAAAAGAGCTATCCATAGCCTCTACTTCCTCACCTCTCATCCTCATTTCCACTCACTTCAACCTGGCATTTGTCCTCTCCACTCCACCAAAAGTGTTCTTATAAAGGTCTCTAAGGCCGTGACCATCCCACCAACAGCCATTCCAACCCCAGTGGTCACTTACATGAAAGCCTTTGACACAGTTGGCCTTTCCCTTCTCCTTGAAATCTTTGCTTCTCTTGGTTTCTGAGATGTTGATGTCCCCAGAGGTTCCTTCATAGTCTCTCCTGCTCCTTGCTTGACCTCTAAATAATGGCATGCTGTGGAACTTGGCTACAAGCCTGCTTCTTTCTTCCAGGTTATCAATCACTCTCATAGATTTAAAATCCCTTAGTATGACAGTGACCACTCAGCTCTTCACTTCAGCCCACACCTCTTTATTGGGACTTAGATTTGTTTACCCCACTCCTTCCTTGACAACCCCATGTTGATATCCAATGGCCATCTCAAACATAACATGTCCAAAATAGAACTCAAGTCACACACACACTAAAGTTTCTTCATCTCAATAAAGGCCACTACCATCCACCCAGATGCTTAAGTCATCCTTACTCCTCTCTTTCATCGACAAACACCATTAGCAAGTCCTGTCAGACTCACCCTCAAGAGGTCTCCCACATTGGATCCTTCTCTCCACATTCACTGCCCTGATTACCAAGCCACCATAATCTCCTTTATATGAGTCTCCCAGCAAGAGCCATCTGCTGCCTACTATTCTTTCTCTTTAAGAAACTAGAGAGATCGTTCTAAAACATGAACAAAATCATGTTATTCCCTGCTTAAAACACTCTGGTTTAAACACCAGTAAGATGGAGGAATAGGCAGACAAGCAACACAGATCCTCTTCAAAAAAAAAAAAAAAAAAAAATTGACAGAGATACAGAAGATAATCCTGGAGCCCTGAGCTTTGAAAGGAACTATACAGAAGTGGATTAGGAACCAACTAGTGGAAAAACCTGAACAAAAATGGTGACTACAGAGACAGTCAGAGCTGCGGA